TTGGCTGTTGGGGCTCAGAAAGGAGTTCAGCTACAGACAGGACTTTTTGTTGAGTTGTTAAATATCTGTTTTAAGCTAAGTTGTACCTTAGGATTGATTTTTAAAATCTACTGAATTTAAAGTTTGCAAACATGTTATACAATATTGAATGGTAGGTTATTATTAACTCATTTGGAGGGTTCAGCTATAAAGATATACAAGCTGGTAACGATGTGATCACAAGGTTTCATCACTCTTTTGAATATTGAAAAAAATATTTATAAGAAATCTAGTTTGAGATGACCAATAAGCAGTTGGAGATGCAAGACTGAAGATCTGCAGAGAAATTAGCGTTTGGATGAGTATATTTGCTGATGAGATCACCAAGTGAAATAGTAAAGAGGAAAAAGAGAAAAGGGACCAGGACAGATCTCTGGGGGATACCCACAGTTAGCAGATGTGGAATGGATGAAGACTGAAAAGTGGTCAGACAGATAGGAAAAGAATCAAACATTCACCTCTGACCTGAACTATCTATGCAACCCACAAGATCCAGATCTCCTGGCCAGCCAGGTACGACTTTCTTTATTCTTTACCGCTTCAGGATTCTGCTGGCAATGACATTCTTCTCTTATGAACAGTGCATTCTTCTAGAAATCACCTCCCATAGAGCCACAGGAGCTCAGGAATTCTTTTTTTTTTTTTTTTGGCTAGGAATGGGGTTAAATGACTTGCCCAGGGTCACACAGCTAGTGAATGTTATGTGTCTGAGGCTGGATTTGAACTCAGGTCTTCTTGACTCACAGGGCCGGTGCTCTATCCACTGTGCCACCTAGCTGCCCCCTCAGGGATTCTTTAACTCACAAAGTAGACCACAAAGCTGGAACTGTCCATCTCTTAGGACCACTGGTCACTCACCTACACTAAGGGAAGGAAACAGAAAGCAGAAACAGCAACAAGAGACTTGGGGCCCCATTTCTAGGGCAGCATATGTTCCTGCTAACACAGGCTTGTGGTTGCTATTGGTGGAAGAAAGTAAAAAAATCCCCTCCCCACACTGCCTGGAACCTAAAATAGACAACGTGCTAGGCAAAAATCCCTAAAGAGAAAGAGGCTTCCAAAGAAAAGGAGATCTTTCTTCTTGCTCAAATTACAGCCCAGTAAGATCTGAAGGAGTGAGTGAGATCTTAAACTAGACTTCAAGAAGCTGAGAAGCCAATGAGAGCAGAGGAAGCAAAGGCAAGAGTTCTAGGGGTTTTGACTGGAAAGAGAAGAGAGATATAGGATGATAGCTTGACATGATGGTAAAGAAGTGAGGATGTTTCAAGGATTGGCTTTAGTGAGAAGAAAGGCCACCTCTTCATCAGAAACTGGGGCAAAGGAGAGAAGAGAGGATAACAAACTTCTGGAAATATAGAATAGGGGAGAAGAGGGAGCTCACAGAGAATGGCATCTTATTTTCTCAGTAAAAAATAGTGATTCCTCCTGAAAGAGATCCCCAAAGGAAAACTCCTAGGAATATTATAGCCAAATTTCAGAATTCCCAGGTCAAGGAGAAAATATTGCAGGCAGCCAGAAAGAAACAATTCAAGTATTGTGGAAATACAATCAGGATAACACAAGATTTAGCAGCTTCTACATTAAGGGGCTACAGAGCATGGAGTATGATATTCCAGAGGGCAAAGGAGATAGGATTGCAGCCAAGAATCACCTACCCAGCAAAACTGAGTATAATCCTTCAGGGCAAAAAATGTCATTCAGTGAAATAGGGGACTTTCAAGTATTTCTGAGGAAAAGTCCAGAGCTGAATATAAAATTTGACTTTCAAATACAAGACTCAAGTGAAACACGGAAGAAGTAAACAGGAAAGAGAAATTATAAGAGACTTATTAAGGTTGAACTGTTTACATTCCTGCATGGAAAGATGCTATCTGTAACTCATGAGTCCTTTGTCAGTATTAGGGTAGTGGGAGGGGAAAAAAATTATATGTATGTATAGATAGATGGATAGATAGATAGAGGGAGCAGGGTGAGTTGAAGATGAAGGGGTGATATCTGGAAAATAAAATTAAGGGGTGAGAGAGGATTATACTGGGAGAAGGAGAAAGGCAGAAGTAAAATGGGGTAAATTATCTCATGAAACAGACAAGAAAAGGCCTTTACAGTGGAGGGGAAATGGGGGAAGGTGAAAGGGAATGAGTGAATCTTATTCTCATAGGATTTGGCTTAAGAAGGGAATAACATACACAATGGAGTATGGAAATCTATTTTACCCTACAGGAAAATAAGGGGCAAAGGGGACAAGAGAGTGGGGTGTTGGCAGAGGGGAGGGCAGATTGGGGGAGGGGATAATCAAAATCAAACACTTCTGAGGAGGGACAGGATCAAAAGAAAGAATAGAATAAATGGGGGGTAGGGTAGGATGAAGGGAAATATACTTAGTTTTTCACAACATGACTACTGTGGAAGTGTTTTGCATGACTCCACATCTATAACCTGTATCAAGATGCTTGCCTTTTCAATGGGGGGGGGGAGGGAGGAAGTGAGAAAATTTATAACCCAAAGTTTTAAAAACACATGTTAAAAATAAAAAATAAAAAAATCAGGTGATGATGGGGCAGCTAGGTGGTGCAGTGGATAGAGCAACGGCCCTGGAATCAAGAGGACTTGAGTTCAAATCCAACCTCAGACACATAACACTCACTAGCTATGTGACTGTGCAAGTCACTTAATCCTAACTGCCTCATCAAAAAAAAATAAAAGGTGATGTCCTCTGTTAAGAGGGTAGGAAGAAGGGCAGTACAGGAGTTTTGAGATGTAACACTTGATTCAAAAACTATGCTAGGGGCAGCTAGGTGGTACAGTAGATAGAACACTGGCCTTGGAGTCAGGAGGATCTGAGTTCAAATGCAGCCTTAGACCACTAGCTGTGTGACACTTGTATGACTATTATGGAAATGTTTTGCATGACAACACATGCATAACCTGTATCAAATTGCTTGCCTTCTCAGTGAGGGGGGAGAGGATGGAAGGAGGGAGAAAATTTGGAACTCAAAGTTTTAAAAACGAATATTAAAAATTGTTTTTACATATATCTGGGGAAAAAATACTACATAAAACAAAAACAAAAATGAAAACTATGCTAGAGAATCAATTAGGGAGGAGTAGGGATTACTTTTCTGCAGTGAAGGCCCAGTCAAGATTAGATTAACAATTTTTTTTAAGATGATCTTTTCTCTCTAAGGCATCCATACCGACTAAGGAGGGTCAAAATAACCCAGTTTAGGAACAGCAGATTAAAGCTCCCATGCTGATAGAATTGGGACTTTAAATAACCTCTGTACTTTCAGCCTTGATCATGGAAGTGAAACACCTGTGGGTGATGGTGAGCTCAAGGGATGACCTTGCTATGATGCAGTAAGAGAGTAGGTCATGGGACTCAATGAGACTGAGAAATTAGGAAGTCAAGCTGTTTGAGGGAGCATATATATGTCTACTGAAGTTCCATTGTATAAGGGAAGAAATTGGAGTAAAGAGGAAGGCTGTGAGGTATTGAACTTCTCCAGAAAGGAGGGAGGATGAGCTAGGGACTGATAGATAATAAATTCTAGATTTGATTGGATAGAATCAATCTCAGCGGAGGAGAGGCTGCTGAGTGATGGCGCAGAAGGTGGGTCAGAAGTGGTACATGGAAGCAGATAGGAAATATGCCCACCCTCTATCCAGGACCAGGACTAGAAGATCAGGCTGAACTGTTCTGGCCCTTCTCATTTAAGCTGAGGATCAGTTCAATTCAACAAACATTCTAAATGCCCTCTCTGGGTTAGGCCTTGTCCTAGGCTTCAAAGATGGAAAATGACAAGCCTTCCCCTCAGGGAACTTACAGCTTTATAAGTGGGATATGACATGTCCAGAGAGATAGGGTAATCTAGTGGCTATAGGGTTGGTCTTTGAGTTTCAAGTCTGAAGTGCCTCTGACATATAGTAGGCTGGTGACAGTGGCCAGGTTGATTAACTTCCCAGTGCCCCCATGAGACTTTTTAAGCTTATAATCGGCAAAGGAAATGCAGATCTGCATCAGCAGAAGGAATTTACACTAGAAAGTTCCATGCAGTTATGAAATGACAGGTTGTGCTAGAGATCACTTTCAGCTAGGGGAGTCAGGGAAGCTCGGGGAGAAAGATGTAAGCACCTAACCTGGGTCTTGAAAAAAGAGAAAGATTTCCACAGGTAGCTTGGCATATTGGAAAGACTACTGTACTGTATGGTTCCAGGCCTGGCTCTTGATTCTTCCCAAAGCGACTGTGGGTGTTTTCATACCTGCAAAATGGAGAGGACACAAGCCCCACTTAGGTATGAGGAAAGCGCTTTATTAACTTTAAAGCGCTATAAAGAGTGACCCGAAAGTCTTCGGGCAGCTGCAAACTTGAGTAGCTTCAGGTCTTTGGGGACACCCAGTGTAAACAGGGGATAGTTAATAACAATGACGTGCATACACAGAAATAGAAAACTGCAAGGCGAAGTCTAGCTAGCCTTCCACTCTGGCTGGAAGGAGAGCACGTAAAGGGGAGTAATGTGAAATAAAGCTGGAAAGTTAAATTATGGAGGCCAAGTTAACTAGAGGCCTGAGTCGGGGGGGGGGGGGGGGGGGGGGGGGGGGCGGGGGGGGGAATTTAGCCAGAAACTGCTGCAGTAGAAAAGTAGGTCAGAACAGGGAGAGAAAACCCACCGGTCTCTTTAAGAAACAGAAGCTGGGCTTCCGCGCTTGCGCACTGTGGAAGTAAACACCTCTCCTCCTATTCTCCCCTTCTTCTAGTGATGTAATGGTCCGTCCCAGAGTCTTCGCCTGGTTCTATGGGGGGGAACCAAAATGGTATGATCTAGTGTTGCCTCTATAGTCTTCATTCCCGCGGTTTCTCAAATGTTTTCCTCCCCCTCCAACTGGGCTCAGTGGTTTGGCCCAGGGGCGGGGAGGGAGAGAAGGGTAGAAAGGACCGGTCTGAGCCGGTCTGCGGCGCAGGCGCAGTGCGGATAAACAGGAAGCGGGCGGTAGCGGCAGAGGTGATCTAGGGGCTCCGGGGAGTAGCGGCGGAAGGAGGAAGGGTAGTAGAAGGGCGGCGGCAGCAGCAGAAGCGGCGGGTGACCGGGAGAGAGAAGAAAAGGGAAAGAACTTAGCCTTCTACTTTTGGGGAACAAAAAAATTAACCTGCCTCCCTATTTCGGCTCTGGTTGCCCGGATCCGGCTCAGGCGGCGGCTGACAAAGGGCTCGCGCCGGTCACCGCCGCCTTCCCATCCGGGCATTCGGGCCCCTGTGGAGAGGTGGCGAGGGAGGAAGAGGGGGAGGGGAAAGGAAGGCTTAGCGGGCGCGGCGCTCGCGCTCTCTGCCCCGAGGTCCAATCCGAGTCTCTGGGCCGATTGACCGACCGGGAGGACGGACGGAGGCCGGGAAGGGCCCGCAGTGACTGCGGGGGTGGCGGCAGCCGGGGCCAGGAGGATGGTGCAGAAAGAGAGCCAGGCGGCGCTGGAGGAGCGGGAGAGCGAGCTCACCCCCCACCCCGCTACCGCGGCTGCCACCGCCGGAGGCCCGCTGGAGCCGGCTGCAGCCCCATCCCCCGGGGAGGGGAGCCAGGCAGGGGCAGGAGGCGGCACTGCGGCCTCAGCCGCGGCATCGGGCGGAGCGCGGAGGTTCCTTTGTGGTGTGGTGGAAGGTGAGGGCCCCTGCTGAGATTGGGATCAAGGGGGAAACCATTAATCTTTCTAGGATGGGAGTTGGGGGGAGGGCAGAGTAGTCCATGGCCCCACCCTGCGGAGAATTTGGGCTTTGGAAAAGGCGGGGGTGGGTAGCTGGGGGAGCCTTATCCCCTTTTTTTGCCTCTGTGGAATTGATGCTTTCTTCTACGCTGAGCCGCCTGACCGCACCCGTTTTGGGCACATTTCCAAGTACCTTAGCTGGCCCTTTGGCGAAGGCCGGGAGAGGGAAAGGGCGGGTTCAGATTCTGGAGCTCTTGCTGCGCAATCTTACGGTTTCTTTGGATCTTTTTTTTTGCTGCTCCTTCCCTCCCCCAAATACCAGCTCTGACGCCCCCACCCCCACGCTTTTGTAATCTGGGCCGAAGGGGAAGCAGCTGCAGCACCGCCTGTTATTTGTTTGTTTTTTTTTTTTAAATCTCTGCTTTGTTGTTTTTCTCTGTTGCCTTTTTCCCCACATTCCTTTGAGGGCCATATTGCCGGTTTAGAAAACGTCTTGAGAGTCTTTCCTGGTTCCTTTTTCCGTGTGCTGTTGATGAAAGGCCTAGTCTTGTTCTAGTTGGGAGGATCAAGCGATATAACGTACAGTCTTTTTCAGACTTTAATGCCATTTATAAATGTTACGCAGAGTTATTATCAGAAACTAGTTTTAGTGAGTTAAGAGCAGACTGAAAAACATACGCAGGTTGCCCAGTGGTTAGCTGGAAATGTACCATAAGCTCCTTGAGAGTAAGTGCTTTGGGCTTTGTAAGGCTTAATAAATATTTGTTGGTTACTGTAATTTTAAAAAAGTAAAACTTTCCTGGGTAGGAGAACCGACCAGAAAATGTTACATCTGTGGATAATCTAAATCGATTTGGGGGTCTTGCCCTTCCCTGTCCCCCCAGCAGTATTTTTGCGTTCAAGTTTGCTGCTTTTCTCAGTTCCCCACCCCCACTCAATATGCCTTTGAAACATTTTAGCTACCTCGAGTTTAACAGATACTTATCTTGTTAGCACTCATCACTCTACGTTATGTAACAAGTGTTTTTGTGTATCAGGAAAACACCGTATAATGTTATTCCTGCTAAAAGCTAAAGGTGAAAAATGTTTTCTATTTGGGAAAGGATCTCCTTGTTACTATAGGACTTTGTAACGTTGTTTCTAAGTGAGGATGAATAGCTGGCCTTCATTGTTTGCTCTGAAATAGTTTTGACTCAAGTAGTTCAAGTTTTAAATTTTTGTAGTGCTACTGGGGTGGAAAGCAAATACTTTCTTTAGGGGGTGGAGAGAAAGATGGTCTGTTTATCATAGTCACTAGTTACCATGCAGGATACTTTTTGTTTGGCCTTTGCAAAGGTGCAGACTGCATCTGGCTGCCGCAAATGCTTATGAAAATAAAACTATTATATGATTTACTAGCTAATTATTTTTATTAGCACCTATCCAGTTAAATGCAGCCAGAAAAGTTTCAGTAGGAGAATCTGCATATCTTTACCTCAGAGGGGGTATGTGTATGTATATGTGTGTACATAAAATAGTTACATATAGTGCACATGAACATATATGTTCTTATACTCTCTGGTAGTGAAAAAGTCCTAGACCATGGCAATACTCAGATAATGCAAATTCTAATAAGGGGAAGCGCTCTTGGTCAGTTTGTTTTGTTTTTCCAAAGCAGTATCGTGTTGTTCTCCTTACTGCCCCTAGAGGCCAGTTCTCTGTATATTCCCTTGTGATTGTGCACCTGAGTCAGCACTGATTCTTTGTTCTTTAGGATTGGCTCCGTTCCTAAAACAAACGAGAACAGGCGGTATAACTTTAAAGTGCGTCCAGGTTTCCGCGCCCCCGCCTCCCCCTTAAAAAATCCTTGTAAGATATGTTACTGGTGCGTAACAACACTTGTGCCTTCAGTTTGAAGTAGAATACTTTTGCCTCTCTGGTTCCAGTCAGCCAGAATCGTGATTCTAATTGGTTTTATAGACTCTATTTTAGGATTCCTAAGAAAGTGAGCCTAAACCTAAAGAAGTCTGTTGCTTTTTGTTTTGGAAAGACTATCAAGAAAGATGTTAAATGATAGAATTTTTCCTGCTTTTTCCTAATGCCAGGACTGTTATGAAAGCTGGGTAACCTGTAAGGAGATAGATGGGGGAACTTGACAGGATTAGAAGTTATCTTGATTACGATTCACTAGCTCTTTTAAGTCTGTTTCATTAATAAAAATTGGAACTTATTAAATTTATGTTTTTAGGTAGCTTTATGTAGATTACATGGCTTTAAAAATAGACTTCACCCACAGGGTTTGCCTGGGACCATATTAGCAAGTAAATAAATGTGAATGCAAAAGTTAAAAAAAAAGAGTTGAATAAATGAATAAATTTTCTGTTGAAACATATTGCCATAGAATGAAAAAAATAGCATTTAGAGAGGCATTTTCATAAGATCATAGGACCAGAGCTGGAAAAAACCTTAGAGGTTAAAAAATGATATTTATCAGTTATAATGTCCCTTATGGGTAGCAGTTACTGTCTCTTTCAGAGATGAAAGAGTATGAGTAAAATTTGCTGTAGTAGAGTTAGAGTTGGGGAGTGCCCAACTCCAATACTGTGTTAATACATATGTTTAGATCAACTGTCTGTCAGATGTTTTGTTTTTTGGGTGGATGGGTGTGGTTTTTTGTTGTTGGGTTGGGTTTTTTCCCCACGGTGAATGTTGTTGTTTTGTTTTTTAGAGGAATTGTTCTGGGCCAGTCAGGTTCTTGAGAATTTTTTAACTTTAAAGTATTTACTCTAGAATGGAAATTGCTGGAGAATTTCCTATCCAGGCCTGCTTCCTACTACTTAATTTGTTGTGAATTTGGCTTTGCCAATCCCCTCTTTGGTTGTAGACAGTTTGAGGCTCGGAGTAGTTCAAGAAGTTTAAAATAAAAAATAGAAATTATCATAATATCAAGTAAAGCCAAGTTATTTCTGTTCCATTCTACCTTAGCTGTTCTTGGCCCCTATCCACCCCACTACACACATTCCTATCAGAAAACAGTAAAAATCACTAGACTCAAACCAAGCATGAATATAAGTGATTTAATGTGTGTGTGCAGCAATAATTGAAAAGATTATCTTTAAATATGATTCTAGGGACAGCTACATAGAGCTGGATAGGTGGATAGAGCACCAACCCCGGAGTCAGAAGGACCCAAAATTCAAAATAGGCCTCAGATACTTGATACTAGCTGTGTGACCCTGGGCAAGTCACTCAAACCTGAGTATCTCACAAAAAAGTAAATACTATTCTGTACTTTTTGTAAGTGTTGGCATGAGCTCTGTAAGCTTTTATTTGTTTAGTTTTCATTAGATTATCCAGTAAACTTAATTGAACTTAATAGAACCTCAGAGGGCTAGAAAGGAGAGTAGTGCCCACTAGGCAATTTCTACTCCCACACCAAATTGTCAAAACCGTACAAACATCCTTAGTGTACCAGTCTGGGATTTGACTGATTTTGGGGTGATTTTTTGATACCTCAGGGCATGACTTTCCAGTACTACCATCACCAATAAACCCCCCCATCCCTAATTTAGAACTGAAGGTTTCTGTACGAAAATTGAAAGGAAGGTGATATAGTTTAGTTTTGAAATGTGAAAAAATAACTTGGATATTGCTTTCAATCTAGGATTTTATGGAAGACCTTGGGTTATGGAACAGAGAAAAGAACTCTTCAGAAGGTAAATCATTGTTTTTCAAAGGAGAAAAATAAAGGTGCTATTCTTTGTAAATATAACACTTTCCTTTTGTGTGGGATTGTTAAAATCACTATGGATCTCCTGGTGGATAATTTGCTATTCTAACAGTCTTTTCTTTTACATTTTGTTTTGATTATCTTCTGTTTGAATATTGGTACTTTTTGAAGGCATGTGGGGGACTCCAAGGCAAGAATATAGGAATTTTCTAACTTGTTTCATTGTAATGTCAATCTATACTTATACCAACAACTCTTTAAACATTTTATTCCCCTTTTTCCCTTAAAGGCTACAGAAATGGGAATTAAATACATATTTATATGCACCAAAAGATGACTACAAGCACAGGATGTTTTGGAGAGAGATGTACTCAGTGGAAGAAGCTGGTAATCTTTTTCCTTTTTAAACAATGTTGTCTGAATTTCCTCTGTGTGTATACATATGCATATTCATATGTATACATTTATATGGCAGAGGGAGATGGGTATTTGTCTAATCTTTTATCTGTTTAGTTGTATGAGGATTTCAGTAATTGATTTATTAGTACTTCTCAATGTTATTCTACTTTTTCTGTGAACACTTAGTTTAGTTTGGTAAGACAACTGAAGTCAAGTTTATGGGTTTAATTCCATGGGAATCAATTAGCTTTAGTTCATTCCAAGTGTCTGAAATATGTGCTGCTGATGAAAAAGGAGAATTTTGTCACTACCTCATATTTATATAGCACTTTAAGATTTACATAGTGCTCCTTGGCAGCCCTCTGAGGTAGATAGAACAAATGTTTTATTCCTGTACAGATGAGGAAACAAGTCCGAAGGGTTTTGACCTCATAGAGTCAAAACTAAGCTCGTAGAGCTTAGAGTGATTTAGAATTAGAGGTTTAATTGAGAAAATTATGACCTACTCAAGAGAAACTGATGTAGAATCACACATCTAAAACTGAAAGAGCAATCAGAAGCCAACTCATTCATTACCCTCATTTTATAGACAAGGAAAGTGAGGTCCAGGGAGGTTATGTGACTTGCCCAAATCTGTGAACAAAACTGTAATTCAAACCAGGGCTACCCTCTGCCTCCAAATCAGTGTTCTTTCTACTGTAATGTGCTAAAAATAAGGGTAACTCAAAATCCATCTCTGCTGTATTGCCTTGCTGGTGATGGCTCAGTTAGCTTTAGTAAGCGATTAAAAGCATTTTTTAACCTCATAAATTAGAATATGAACTCTTCTTTCATAGGGTATTGAGTGAATGAATAGAGATAAAGGTCCTATCACTTTTTTCTTTGACTTAAATTATCTTCGTAATCACCTAACTGGAATTTGGTGCAACATAGCCCAGAGGATGAAATCTAGCCAAGGGGAATGACTTGAGAATGTTTTGTTATTATGCTGGAATTGTCTTTAATTATGAAGAACCAGTTAAAAATTGTTACTTCTTTACAGCTTCCATTGTGTACTTGATGTAGTTAAGCAATTTATTATCAAAATTATAAAAATAAAACTATTTGAATTAGTATCTTGAGGTACTACTAAAAAGTAAATGTTAAGACGTGCAAAACAAAAAACCTTTGGTGGAATTATTTGGAAAAGTAATATGGGAAAGTTATATGGGGAATATTAAAGAGTTCTTTACATTTTAAGACTTTTGTGTAGCATGTGGTACTGTTTTCCTTAATGAAGGGACACTCAAGACCAGCGCTTAAAATACTAAAAAACTACTTGATTTTGAATACATACATCCTTTCCTATTTCCCAAGGCATTATAGATTTTTTGTTTAGGATTTTGTATTAAAATTATCATTTGTATCTTACAGGTACTTAAAGATGCGCAATTAAATAATCTGTATTTACAAAATAGCTATAGCTTGGCATTTTTGAAAAATGGGATATGGAAATAGTTTTTAGTTTGATTGCGTGAAAGTGGAAGGGTAATTTTTTCAAGTAAAAGCAATCTATTTCTATGCCATTTGTAAATTAATACTATTGTCAGTATTAATATCATTCAACTGTTTTTACTGTTTCCCTCTACCCCTAAATAAAATGGTACCTAGCTTGTATTTTTGTATGTCTTGATAATTGACATAGCACTCACTTTTAGCACAACTAATAAAGATTCTCCTCCCTTTTTTACACCAAATTTACTAGAAATGTGAAGGCTTCAGTTGCAAGGTTGACTCTTTACCTTGTACTGTTTTCTATATAGGGTATGAAATTATCTGTAAATTTAGCTCTTTTTTCTTTTCTTTTTTTTAAGAACAACTTATGACACTCATTTCTGCTGCACAAGAATATGAGATAGAATTCATCTATGCCATCTCACCTGGACTGGACATAACCTTTTCTAATCCTAAAGAAGTGTCCACATTGAAAAGAAAACTGGATCAGGTAGTTCTTTGTTCATTAAAGGAGGTTGGGTTAAAGATGAATAGGTATAGTTACATTAAGTTTAATGAATTGCTTTCTAGCAACTAAAAGGAAATGAAATTCCTGTTGTCTCTAGGGCAGTCACCTTTTATGTTTCTGCTAACAGGAAGATAATTTGTAAAATGAACTTGAGAAAATTTCACCTCAAGAAACTTTTGAGTTCAATTCCAGCAGCATTTTTAAAGTGCCTACAGTGTGCCAATGTTATGTGTGTATATATAAATGTACACACGCGCGCACACACACATATGCAGATAAACGTGAACCAATCCTTGTCCTCAAGTAGCTTACATTTTACTTGAGAGTTGGGGTGAGAGTGAGGCATGGATTTACACCAAAGTACAATATATACAAAGTCATTTCAAGGCCAATGTGGGGGGGGGGTAGAGGCAGTGTTCTAACAACTACTGTAAACTGAAAAGGCTTCTTATAGGAGGTGGCATTTGAGCCAAGTGTTGAAGGGAATGTGGGGGACTGGATTTTCCAAGAGGGAAGGTATAGTAGCAGGATGAATAAGTCTGTGTAAAGATAATAATACTCAGGGATGGAATGATAGATTATCGGGTATTGAGTTGGCCAATTTGCCTGAAAAGTAGAATGTTTGAAAAGAAATAACTTCAAGTACATTGGGGAAAGATAGAGTGGAGCCATATTGTGAAGAGCTGTAAGTGTCAAACACAGGAGTTTATATTTGATTGTAGAAGTAAAAAAGGTGCCACTGGAGCTTCTCAAGTAAGGGAGTGACATAGACTTGTCTTTTACTAATATGAATGTTAAGACTGTATTGAAGATGAATTAGAGAAGGGGAGAAACTGGAAGTAGGAAAAACAGGCTCTTACAGTTGTCTGGGTAAAAGGTGATGGGGGTGGTTATATAAGTGAAGAAAAAGAATAGCTGGGAGATACATTGCAGAGGTAGAATGAAGAATATATGTCAATCAATTATCTATGGGGAGGGGTAAATGAGTGGAAGTTAGGGTTGACTTCATAGTGATTCACCTGGCTGACTGAAAAGTGGTTCCTTTCCCTGAATTAGGAAAGCTGGGAGATCTGATAGGTTGGGGCAGAGGTGAAAGTTGGGGGGGAATGAGCTTTAGGTTTGAGAACCATGGGACATTGAGATGAAAATGTCTGACATCTCCATAATGTCCAGCAGTTGGTGATATAGGACTAGAAGTTAGAGAGAGGTGAAGATAAATCAGTCAGCATTTATTATGTGCCAGGCATTAGGGAAACAAAGACAAAAATGAAAATACCTGACCTTAAGGAACTTATTGTCTGTGGAGGAAATGTGTCCCCAAATAAGTACATACAAAATAAATACAAAGTAATTCTGGGGAAATACTTTATGTAGCCAGTGGAAGGGAATGGTACATGGAGGGCAGAGAAAATGGCAAGGTGTCTAGAGTGGATGGATGTGAAAAGTATGGTTTGGGAGTGGTTAGATCAGTTTTGTTTTGACTTTTTTTTTTTTTCTTAACTAGTTAGGAGGACAGCTCAGCCCCAGGGCAATCTTAAAAAAACAGAAGAAAATATGTAAGATGAGGTGATTTAACAGTGTCACCTGTGGCATAGAGGCAAGAAGGGTAAAGACAGAAAAGAAGCCATTGAATCTGGAATTTAAGAAATAATTGGTAACTTTGGAAAGAGCAGTTTCAGTTGAGTGAGGTTGGAATCCAAATTGCAAAGGATTGAGAAGTGGATGAGGAAAACAAGTGAAGGCAGTGAGAGCTTTTTTTTCTTTTTAACACAAATTTGGCTGATAAATAGATTGAGGGAATGGGAGAGTCTAGTAAGGGGCTTCTTGGTGTTTTTTTTTTTTAAGGGTAGAGGGGATTTGGACATGTTTATAGAATAGGACTGAGCCAGTAGATACGGAGAGTTTGAAGATTGGTTAAATCATCATTGTGTACAGCACCTTTTCTTAAAGTTTGGTCCTGGGGTTCTGTCAGGTCAAAACTTTTCATGAGAATACTAAGGTGTTATTTGTATATAAAAATGCTCCTCCTTTTTCCAACTTCATATCTGTGTAAGGATTTTCTTCCATCTACTTATAATTTAGGAAAAAGTTAACAAAGCATTAAGCACCCAATATATGCTAGGTACCATGCTAAGTGTATTACAAATATTATCTCATTTAAGGATCACAATCACCCTAGGAGGTAGGTGCTATTATCATCTTCATTTTATGATTGAGGAAATTGAGCCAGAGAAAGGTTAAGTAACTTGCCCAGGGTCCCACACGTGCACAGCTAGTAAGTGCCTGAAGCTGGATTTGAACTTGGGCCTTCCTGAGTCCAGGTCAGCACTCTATCCACTGTACCATCTGGCTACCCTTAAATAATAATGGTTAGCCTTTAAGTAGCACTTTAAGTTTTGCAAAGCATTTTACAAATGTCTCATTTTATCATTATAACAACCTTGGGAGGTAGGTGCTATTGTTATAGTCATATTACAGATAAAGAAACTGAGGCAGAAGAAAATTAAGTGATTTATTCATGGTCACATAGTAAGTTTCTGAGACTCAAGAAGATCAATTTCTATTTTTTTCAGTTAATTATGAGGCAAGGTCCTCAACTGAGAGAAGGGAATGTGGGAAGGTATTCAAGGCTTAAGGAGAGACTAAAAGGTTTGGAACAGCATCTGTGAGAAGTTAATCTAAATTAGGGAAGAGTATAAGGATTGCCTTTTGCAGTCAGAGCCCAGGTGAAATTAGATAAGGGTTGTGGAACTCGTTATTTGCATTATAGGGGGCCTATCATTAAATGAATAACCAAATAATTAAAATTTTTATGAGTTTTAATTTTTAGTAATGTAAAGATAGATATAACCTGTATAAACAAAAACTCTTTCAAATATTTTTAAGAGTATAAAGGATGTTGAGACCAAAAAGTTTGAGCCTACAGGATAAAATAAGGCCCCCTACAGTTGGCTCCTGCCAATCTTTCCAGCTTTATTTCATATTATTGCCCTTTACCAATTTGATATTCTAACCAAATTAAATTATTAGTTTTTAGAATTCAACATTCCATCTCCTGTATCAGTGCATTCATATAAGTTCCCCATACCTAGTGTATTTTTCTTTCACCTTTGCCTCGAAGAATCTTCTTCGAAGGCTTAACTTGTGCCATTTCTCAGAAGCCTTCCTCTCCCTCTCCTCGAAGTTAATAGTATTCTCTTAATTATGTTCTTTGTATGAAGTAAGTCCTACCCATGATTGCCTTTCAGAGAGGGGTTTGCTCTTAAAGTGAGGCAAGGGGTGGACGATGGGAAATGGTGCCTTAGCAGCTGATGGAGTATCTTGCTTTCCTGATGACAGTTGTTATCCTATATCCAGGGACCTTTACTTAGAAGTTTGCTTTCCTGACTTATAAAGAGGTTGAACAGAAGGATCAGGATTGAAAGTATGATGGGCCACCCTATTGTAAAGAGTAGGGCACTTCAAAGTGTCTGGATCAGGCTCAGCTAGAGGGCTAGGGATGATTTCTTAGGCCAGAAAGTTTGTGGTTAACACTGCTTTCCCAGTACAATCAGCAATTTGGAAAGAGGATCAGTTGGACAGGGCACTTTGGGTGAGGGAAGGCAAGGAAAGGAAACAGCCTTAAGCTTTCCTGAGAATACCTCTGGTTGTGGAGTCCCTTCCCTGGAAGCTTTTCTTTCCCAAGCTGCTCAGTCTTTCCTGTGGAGTTGAAACATGTAAGGTGAATAAGCTTGGGGTAAAGGTAGACAAATTTCCCCCTGCCCTCTTCTGTTCTGTCATGAGTTGGGCAAGGGCTTCATTATGTTACAGGGTTGCTTTCTTCCCTTTCCCCCCAGTTAATGTTGAATTGAATATTCTTTTTGAGTATTATGCCTTTGTGAATTCAGGGGGTCTTTTTCTGCTGATTTTATATGTAAAAGGTATGTTTGTTAAATTGTGAAATTGAGAAGGATGAGAGTTAGGAAAGGCCATCAGATATGACAGTTAAGAGATTATTGGTTACCAGTGATTTGGAGAAGGCAGTTTGAGCTCAATAATGAGTTTGGGAGCCAGATGGCAAAGGGTTGAGAAGTGGAGGCAGTGAGGAAAGTGAGTTTTTTTCCAAGGATTTTGGCCAAGAAGAGGGAGAGAGGACAATATTGGGGGAAATGATGGGATTCGAGTGAGGTTTATTCAGGAAAAAGGAGATTTGGACATGTTTGAAGGCATTGGAGAAAGGAACCAGTATATATGGAGAGATTCAAGATTCATTCTGCTGAAGAAGAGGGTATGGGATTAAATGTATATGTAGAAGGGTTGGCTTTGGCAAGGAGAAGGGTCACTTTTTTTGTCAGATACTGGGGAAAAGGAGGAAAGAGTAGGAGATGATGTTGAGGGATAATGAAGATAGGAGAAGAAGGACCTCACATCCAATGACCTTAATTTGTACATCATAGATTTTTTAAAAACTGGTTGATTGAATTAGAATATTTAATTATCATTAGAGAATCAATAAAATTTTCAACTAAAAAAAATAATAGAATAAATCTATGAGAAGTTAAAGAGTTGAATTTTCCTTTAGGTTCTAAGAAATGATATCTTAATAGGATTGATATATATCATAAAATATGTTAGCCTTTGCAGTCTTAAGAATCTTAATGTTTTCTTCCAGGTTTCCCAGTTTGGTTGCAGATCTTTTGCCTTGCTTTTTGATGATATTGATCACAACATGTGTGCAGCAGACAAAGAAGTGTTCAGTTCCTTTGCACATGCCCAAGTCTCTATAACAAATGAAATTTATCAGTATTTAGGAGAGCCAGAAACCTTTCTTTTCTGTCCCACAGGTAAAAGCATCATTACCCCTTTGTAGTTTGTCGCCCTCAAGGGAATGAGTGTGTAAATATATACACTTGGCGGGTAGGGAAAAATATTGCTTTCCAAAGATAGTATCAAGTCTTTGAAAAAAAAATTCTTCAAGATAGGGGAAATTACATTACTGTAACCAATAGCCAAGTTAGCTAGGGACTTTATCATTTTAAAAACACTGACATAATATTTGAAGGGATGATTGAGAGGGTAGAGGGGGTGTTCATATGCAATTCTAGAGTATAATGTTCTTTTTTGGTTATTATGTTTAGAATTTTAAAAGGTGTATGTAACATTGAAGTGGAAAAATCAAACTAGGTAGTTTTTAACTCCACTTTTCATTTCCTTTTATTCCCTTCTTTGACCCCGTTTATGTCTGTACTTTTCCCCCCTCTCCACTTCTCCCACTACTTCTAATACTGTAGCTTCAGGAGAAACCTTTTTTTTCCTTTTCCATTTTTCCAGTAAGTAAAAGGCTACTTCAGTTGTCCCCCCAAATTCAACCATAAGTTTTGTTTTTTCTTAGGAAGTGATTAAATTATAAAAAGTTTGGACTGGATTAATTTCTTTGAAAGTAATTCATTACCTTTCCTATAGCATAACCACCTGATACGGATTTTATCTATGTTGATGGTCAAAGGCACAATACTTTTAATAAGAGTGTATTAAGAATCACTTAAAACACACAAACTTGAATTACATTTAGGAACATTAAACTTCGTTGGATATAAACCTGCGTTGTCTCTGAGATAAAATTTAATTTTTGCTTTCCCTGAGGCTGAAGTTAAAAAATGTTGGCAGTTCAAACCCAAGATTGATTGTTGTCACTTGCCTCGATACAGTTTCTAGTGATTACTCTTAGGATAATAGGATGACTTCTGGAATGGTGTGAGGACAATTGTTAGAATTTAATTGATCCTTAAATGAGTGGCTTACGAGATTTCAATACTTTAAAGGACTAGTCCAATATAATATGTAAGTGATACTCATCAGAATTTTTAAAAAATGAAACAGGTACTTGCAAAACAAGATTTTTACTTTTAAAAAACTTTTTCCCCTACTAATCATTGTTTTTGAACTTTCTTTACTCAGAATACTGTGGAACCTTTTGCTATCCAAATGTTTCTCAGTCTCCTTATTTAAGGACTGTGGGTGAAAAGCTGTTACCTGGTATTGATGTGTTATGGACAGGTAAGTCTTTTATCTTTTTAAAGTATATAAAGTAAAAATTTTCATGAGATAAATTAGGAAAGGCAGTTATCTGGTTAATTGAATTTTCTTGTTATCTTTAATCAGAAGATTTTTTGCTTTTACTGCGGAAAAACTTTCTGAAATGTGGCATATTTTTTCTAATAGTGCAATAAAGGCATGACAACCATTGACTCCCAACAAGAATCCCTGTGATTGAGTTGGTTTCATTAGCCACCTGACTACCTCTAAAGACTTCTCCCTATTTCCTCATACCCATCCATGGCATCCTTATCCCCCCCCTTCCTTACCTTTCTGTTGTGCCCCCTGGGACCCCTGTTCTGTTGTTGATATTAGTACCTTTCACATTAATTTACTATTCTTTGAGGTTCTTCCAATACCTCCTACTCATTTTGAACATAATTATTTTTACAGCACTGTGTATATAGGTAATTAATTGGAATTGGAATAAGTGTTTATTGGATTAGAATGTGTTGATTGACTTTAGCACGACAGTTCTTTGAAAAATAGATTCTTTGAATTTTCTAATAATTTATCTGTTTCTTCTGAGTTGCATTCTTCCCACTTTCCGTTTTCCCTCCAGAAATGTGGGGTTTAGGCTAGTTGAGTTCATTTTAACTTGTAATGAACTAAATTGGTTTTATGAGCCATCTAAAAAGTCATTGTAGTAGATTAAATTTATGTTGTTATTATATATATTTAAATAAGTACAAATAAATACTCTTAACAGGCCTTACTTATGGTTGTAGGTCCGAAAGTTGTTTCTAAAGACATTCCAGTAGAGTCTATTGAAGAGGTTTCCAAGATTATTAAAAGAGCTCCAGTTATTTGGGATAACATTCATGCTAATGATTATGACCAGAAGAGACTATTTCTTGGCCCTTACAAAGGACGATCAACAGAGCTCATTCCACGACTAAAAGGAGTCCTGACTAATCCAAACTGTGAATTTGAAGCTAATTATGTTGCCATTCACACTCTGGCGACCTGGTACAAATCAAATATGAATGGAGTGAGGAAAGATGTAGTAATGAGTAAGTAAATTTTGTGGGAGGAAAGCTGGGGGCTATTCTTAAGTAAATAAATATAACATCTGCTTTCTTTTTCTGAGATGGTAAAGCTTAGGTACCTTTTGAGGGCATTTGGGTAATTTGATATACACTTACCTTGTTTATTTGAGCCAAGTAGGCAAATCCTCCTGACTTGGGTTTTCCTCTTACCTTGTATAGATATTTGTCTTTAAACCTCATTTTGGGCCAGCTCTGCATTTGACTAAAAATTGAAAGTTTTATTGAAACCAAAATAAGCCTCTTGTGTTTGTAAAATAAGGTCTTGTGTCTCAAGCTGTATTTTTAAAAAACAGAAAACAAAAAGCTTTGTCCCAAAGTGTATATCTGAAACTAAAGTATTCCCACCTCTGTCCTAGCACTTCTTCCTTATTTCTCTTCGTTATTGGAACAATAATTGTTCTACTCAAGCCAAGTTGGACATAAAAATCAACCATAACTCTTTTCTCTTACACATCTAATTTGTTTTCCAACACTTACCAGTTCTACCTCTGAAATCACTCTCATCTGCTCGTCTCCTTTTCTTTTTCTTTTTTTTTAAATTGGAAATAAATCCTGTGATTTTTATTCAGGGGGAGATATAGTTATACTGAAAGGGAAACAATAGAAAAAGCTCTTAAAAGTACGAATGGTCTTGTAGTTGTTCACACATTCAGGCACTAACTGGGATCATCAGAGTCCTTTGGGGTTTTGTTGTTGTGTTTTTTAAAGACTATTGGTACTCATTGTTTCTCATAAGCAATGTAATTTGCAATCTCCTGTGGAAGGAGGAAAGAAGAAATAAGCATTTATTAAGTTCCTATTATGTTCTGTGCACTATGCACAGTGTTCTCATTTGACGCATAATGTGGACACGTTAGCTTTTCCACTTCTATGCCAGAAATTTCAAACCCAAATTTATCTTCATAGCCACTATGATTTTTACTGGGTCCAAATTATTCAAGCCCCAGGTCTTTCATGAAGTAGGAATATATTCAGTTTTTCTGGATCAGTCTCATAGCTTCATGACGTAGCAGAGACATAATCCTTAATGCTCTCCAGAGTTCAGACAAGTCACCATGTTCACCCCTTTCTTTCCACACTCATTACCCTGCTTAAATCACTGATTCTGTCTTCTCTAGACTATTCCTGTAGCTTTCTAATTGGTATCTTTCACTCCATCAGTCTGTTTTACCAGACTCCTAAAGCAGAGCTATGGTGTCAATCCCTGCTTAGAAACATTTGTTCCCCATTTGTTATCCAAACTGCTTAGGCTAGCATTCCATGATTTGAGCTGACCTTTCTAGTCTTGTCTACATTACTCACCTATGTACCTTGTGCTCCTATTAGACTAGTTAGACAAACAGGCTATTTTTTCCCTCTCTTCAGTATTTTTATTTATGCTATTATTTGGACCCATAGTGTTTCATACCATCCTGCTAGGGGAATGGAATAAGCATTTATAAAGCACCTGTGTGCCAAGCCCTGTGCTAAGCGGTTTATGAATGTTACCTTACACAATCCTTGTAACAACCCTCAATTGTAGGTTCTGTTGTTATCTCCATTTTATAGTTGAGGAAACTAAGGCAAACAGAGGTTGCTTGGGGTCACACAGCTAGTACCATCTGAAGTTGTGTTTGAACTCAGGTCTAACTCCAGGCACACTACTTTAGCCATATGGCTACCAAGCTACCTGCTACTATCAAGTGTCACCTTTTCCACCAAGCCACCTTTCCTATTCTCACCAGCAAGAAATAACACCTGTGCTTATGTTCCCTTTGTTGATAAAACTCTTAATGTCACTTAGCTTTTTCAGCTTTTTGTTGTAACTTCTCTCCATGTTTTATACCTTACTGGATAGTGAGTTCCTTATGGGTAGGGACTATGTATCCTCTATAGCACCTAGCAGAGAACCTTGTATAAATGGGGGCTTAATAAATGTTTTTTTAAATACGTGTTTTAGAGATTACAAGACTTCCAGTATTTAATCATATAACATGCTATTTGCATAGGAGATATTGAAGAAGTCTTTTTTTAAAAAAATTATGCCTACAAATAACGTTGGAAATATATGTAATAACAGTATCTTTGTACTATCTATCTGGCTTTTCTGTCTAATTTCCTAGTCTGCTTATGAGCTTTTAATGTAGAAATTGATTTTTTTTACAATAAAAATACTTCTGTCATTTTATTTTTGTTGCAGCTGACAGTGAAGACAGTACAGTATCTATTCAGATTAAATTAGAAAATGAAGGTAGTGATGAAGATATTGAAACTGATGTGTTATATAGTCCTCAGATGGCCTTAAAGTTGGCTTTAACAGAATGGCTGCAGGAGTTTGGTGTACCTCATCAATATAGCAGTAAGTGAGGTGGCTGTTTGTCAAGGTGGGGGAGGGAGAGAAAAGTTATGGGTAAGGTGGTTGAATCAAAAATAGTCAAATAATTTTTTTTCTTTTTTTAAATTTTTTAAATTTTATTATAAGTTTGTTTTGATTTATCAACATTCACTTCCATATGCTTTTGAGTTTAAAATTTTTCTCCCCCTTCCTCCCCCCTACCCTCCCCAAGACAATGCACAGTCTGATATAGCAAATAATTTTTAATGGCAATAGTTAGCTTTTTTTTTTTCCTCAATGCAATTGGGGGTTAAATGACTTGCCCAGAGTCACATAGCCAGTAAGTGTTATATGTCTGAAGCTGGATTTGAACTCGGGCCTTCTGACTCTAGGGCCAGTGCTCTATCCACCGCGCCACCTAGCTGCCCTTACAGTGGTCAGCATTTTACTTGCAGGGCAAAGGCTGATCATTAGGTAATTGAAGTTAAGTGAAAATTTGGAATTAGGAGGTGTGAGTCTGGGTGTAAGATCATAGTGGTTGTTTTTCCCTGACACTCCCTGGGGTGCTAATTATAAGTGCATGAGAACCTGAAAATAAAACTCGTCCATGAAAGAAGCAAAAAAAAAAATCTTTGAACTAAAACATGATTAAAATCAATGAGTGGTCCAGTTTGATTTTGAAGTCTACTGCCAGTGAAAATGAATCTTTTAAAGAGCTGTCACATACTGTCATTTAAGAAAAGAACCAAAGATTCATTTGGACAGAATTCTTCAAATTTTAAAATTTTATACAGTGAAATATTAAGACTCATGAGGAGGCTAGTCTTTTAGAGATCTTGGAAGTGTTCAATTGGAGAACAAGGTAGAAGAGAAATGGAAGTGTTTTAGATGTATTATTGCTGGATTCCCTCATTGCAGATACAAAGATGAGAAAATAGATTTCTCTAAATCTGTACTTGTTGAGTTAAAAGGGGATTCCCAATTTCCTGTTGGTTTTTACAGGTTATATTATTGTCTGATTTTTCAGGTAGACAAGTGGCACACAGTGGAGCAAAAGCAAGTGTAGTTGATGGGGCCCCTCTGGTGGCAGCACCTTCTCTGAGTGCCACCACTGTAGTGACAACTGTTTACCAGGAGCCCATCATGAGCCAGGGAACAACTCTGAGCAGTGAGCCTCCGCCCCTTGTCAAGGAAGAAGAAAAGAAACAGCTTGATGAGGAACCCATGGATATGGTGGTAGAGAAGCAAGAGGAGACAGACAAGAATGATAATCAGATACTGACAGAAATTGTTGAAGCTAAAATGTCAGAAGAGTTGAAACCAATGGATACTGATAAAGAAATTATAGCTGAATCAAAGTCCCCAGAGATGTCAATGCAGGAAGATTGCATCAGTGACATTGCCCCAATGCAGACTGATGAGCAGACAAGCAAGGAGCAGTTTGTACCAGGTCCAAATGAGAAACCTTTGTATACAGCAGAACCAGTGACTTTGGAGGATTTACAGTTACTTGCTGATCTTTTCTATCTTCCATATGAGCATGGTCCCAAAGGGGCACAGATGTTAAGAGAATTCCAGTGGCTTCGAGCAAACAGCAGTGTTGTCAGTGTTAATTGCAAAGGAAAAGACTCTGAAAAGGTGAATATGTCATGTTTGTTTACTTTAAATTCTTGCTAGCACAAAACTGCTCCATCATGCTTCTAATATGGAGAATGCCCCAAAACTACTTTTGAGAAGTATGCAGACTGACCTTTCTGTTATACTTAATCTCCTGGCTACTTCGGAGTGAAGGGAACTTGAAGATGTTTTGTAACAATGTTTGTCACTGGGCTCTGTTTTTATTGCTTGTTAAAAATCTGTTAACTACGATCGAACAATTTCAATTCCTGCTAGTATTAATAGTATTTCATGTGTTAACTTTTAGTTTCTGAATTTAAAGAGTTATATTCAGAATAGTTTGAATTTTTCTCAATAGATTGAAGAATGGCGGTCTAGAGCAGCCAAGTTTGAAGAGATGTGCGCACTGGTGATGGGGATGTTCACACGGCTCTCCAATTGTGCCAACAGGACAATCCTTTATGACATGTACTCCTATGTTTGGGATATCAAGAGTATAATGTCTATGGTGAAGTCTTTTGTGCAATGGTTAGGTAGGTGCACCAGGAACAATCTTCTTCCAGAGTATACTATGTGTTTGAAGAAACATGATTAGTCTACAGGGGAAACCCTCTAAAGAATTGGATGTCTATTTTGTTTTCTTCAAATTCTTTGCCTATGTGTATTCTAAATATAGGCACAATTACAGACTTCAATTGTAAGTCATTATGATTAATCGCAATAAGCTGATTTCATTTTTCCCCTTGGGCTAATTCAGCATAAATATCTTTTTAATATATTAGAGAGTACTGACTTGTTCTGACTGAATGCATCCTGGACGGAATTCTGTGCACCTCTCAACAGCGTTCTGCTGATTGGGGATTGAGACACTATGAAATGTGACTCTCCATCAGCTCTCTGCTGCTTGCTGTGTCTTGATAACATAATTGCTATGTTTTGACAGAACCATTGCTGAAATGACCGAAGGGCCTGGCCAAGAGGAAGCTGATCCTCCCAGCCCTGTGCGCATGCGAGTTTGAGGACAAGGCTATTCTGGTGCATTATATCAGATTTTCTTCCTCCCTGCACTAAGTAGTTGGCTTTAACAAGGGGTGGAAATGATAGTGCCCTGAGATGTTAATGTTCACTGCATTAAAATGACGCTCAAGACTTGTGTGCGTCTTTTTTTTTTCTTTCTTTCATTTTTTTAAATTAAATTTTTGGAAACCTCCAACTTGGTAGAAAGCACCAGCATGGCCCAGATTACTCCAGGGACATGACTTTATTTTTCCAGGTTTTAATCCAGTTCTAAGGAATATGTTGTATACTTGCTTATGACACACAGCAGGCAGCAAGGCTAACTGATTTATGTCATAGTTTTCATAGCTGTCGCAGATATCTCAATGGGTTACAGAGATGTCTAAAACACTGATGTCAATAATATTAGGAAAGAGTAGTGAAAGTATTTTTGATTTTCTGCCTAAATACTGATTAGCCCTTAAAGAATTCTTTTTTAAAATTTTTAAGAAAAATTCTTAAGGAAGTTATTAGTGCCAAAAGTTAGTATTTCCAATCCTTAATCACGTCATAAAAATCCTTTTTGGATTAATGTGTGGAAATACAGTTTGGGGAAGAAATTTAGGCCTTATTCTTTAAAATAGTGCAGTGTTGTCCTTCTAGGGGAAAGGACCTCAGAGCTTCACTTCTTATTTAAGTGATATATAGATCACTTTCCTTCCAGGTTACTGCCAAGGGAAGATAAATGCTTGTTGGAATTTAAACTTTTAGTTTCTCTGGACACCACAAGGACTGTTAAATTTAAGGAGTTTTTTGTCTTGTTTTTTAATTTTTATTTTTCATCAAGCATTTTTTCCCATCTCTCCCACTGGGGGGAAAAACCCTTGTAAGCAGTATGCACCTAGGACAAATAAATCTCATGTTTGGATACTGAACTTGAAAGTATTCATTTCATATGTTTGTAATGAAACTTTAATGCAAGGATTATTTAAAATTTTAGCTTCTTGACTCCTTGAAATATGCAATATTGTGTGTCTATGTTTCTACTTAAGCAGTGGGGTTGAATAATATTTAGCTCTGGGTATAAATAAGTTGGCCAAGAAATAAGGAGATAATTATTGTCAACTCCCCAATAACAAAGATGCTTTAGTTAGTTTTTTTTCCAGTAGTGTGCCTTACCCAGAGCTTATGTTAGGAGTCATGTTCAAAGCTAATTACTGAGTTTCCATAACAATATAAGATTTAGATTGCATTTAGTATATATAGAATAGATACATACTGAGCAGTATTTATCAGAGCATGGGGATATAGATTGGAGCCCTTATTTCTTCTCTTTTCTTTCCAGTCCAGCTGGCATTCAGTCCCTTAAAAGAATGTGGTTATCTGGTACTTTTGATTACTAATGACTTCTATTATCTTCTTCCCCATTGTGTACAGATGGGAGAATCCTCAGCACAAGTTTCTACTGCTCTTGGATGGACAGCGGCAGATGTTCATCACGCGTCATGATTAATTAGTTTAAATTGAAAGGTTTTGACTACGAGGTAGTTCGGGTAGATTACTATGCAGTAGGCATGAACTGAAGTCACATTTGCGCAGCGACTAAGGCATTAACAATGGTTTTTATTTACACAGCTCTTCATTCATGCAGCTTTTTATTGTCATAGTTGAAGTGCTAGTTATGTTGTGGTCTCAAAGTAGGGGGTAGTGAAGAAAAATCATCCAAGTTATTGGCTGATCTGTACAAAGTGAGAGGGACAGCTTTTTGAGATGAGTGTAAATTATGTTGTTATGGACTGGGGCAGGTTCTGGTCAAAGCCTGAATTTCAACCCTTTTCCATTTTTCCAGATTTGTCTTATGAACTTTGTCCTATGTTTAGGGGGGGATATACCCCAACCCCCAACCCCAACCCCCAAAATACCTCACACCAAAAAAAAACAAAATACAACCTATAAACCTGAACTTTTGATGGGCTTTTATTGTCAAAACTTGGTTTGCTTTGGGACTGTCTGACTAGCACACTATATTTTATTCTTATGAGATTGTTAACTTAAACAGGAGGTAGAATGCTGTCTTCAAAAGGAAAAGAACTTTTGCGCTGCTCATCTTGTCAGAAGACTAGGCAATTGTTTCTAGTTCAGGCCTTAAACTTAACTGTCTTTTTCCCTTTTAAATTGTCACATGGTTAACCTCACGGCCTATAAAATGGATTAAGTAACAGCTTTAAATGCTCAATGTCAAATGCTGTAGTAGTTAACCTGAGAAATGAGGTGCTGTTGCACTTTTTAAAATTTTTTGATTTAAAAAAAATTTTTTTTTGAGCAAGGGGCATTTTTAAGATATAAAAGCCCCATATGAATTAAATCTCAGGATGTGGCAAATTATCCAAGTTTGAATTTTGGTCTGTCTTCCCTGAGAATTGAGGCATCTTATGTCTTCACTTTTTTGGGCTGTGTTAAAATTGAGTCATTCCTTTTATTTTTTCTGCTGACCTTAGTTTTCTGACAAGATTAACCCCCTTCTTTCCCTTACCCCTTCCCTTGCCCTCTCTCTGAAAATATAAAATGTGACTTCAGACAGGTACAATTCCTTCTTGGGGCTGTGATAATAGAATTTCTCTCTCCATCCATCTGGTAAAATTTGTGGTAGCAGGTCACTCCTTTTTGTAGTTTTACAACTTCAATACAGGATGGATGACATGATTTGTTACAGCTGTACTTAGAGAATATAAGCTTTAGCCTGACAAACTCCGACAGTTTGTTTTTCTTCCCATGTATGTGGAAGGAATAGAATCTGACTACTTCAAAATTTATTCTTGATGCAGTTATTGTATATTTGAGGGAGTGGGCATCAATATTGGGCACCTTGAAAGTTGTGGGTTTTTTTAAGTATTATCACAGCCCTGACCTTGATATCCTGGATTATTATTGTTAGAGAGGTTTTCCACAAAGAATGTATTTGTTGGACGTTTGAGACGCTCAGGAAATCCCCTTTCTCGTAACGTTCTCCGCTTGGATCTGATTTCAACAGGGTGTCGTAGTCAATCTTCAGCACAGTTCTTAATTGGAGACCAAGAACCCTGGGCCTTTAGAGGTGGTCTAGCAGGAGAGTTCCAGGTATCAATATGAATTCACAACTGAATTGACATTTTCTTTGTTTTATGAGAAACCTTTTGTTGCGCATCAGATGGCTGGAAGGATTGGTCTGCCGAAGGCTTTCTAGTCCAAAATCCAATTTAGTTCTAGAGCTGGTTTTAAATCAAATTTTCCTCCCCTTTTCACAGTAATTTCTCAAGGAGATGCTGCCAATTCCCCCCGCGCATGCGAAGCGCAGCGGCTTTAGGTGTACATTTCACATTGTTTCTTTGCAGGTCGCACAGCATTTTAATCTGCGCCCGCAATGTACAATGCGCGCATGCTTGTCTGCCAGTGGAAATTCCATGAGCAAAAATATGAACAAAAATGAGCAAATATGCGAACAAATGGTAGAGACTGAATTTGAATCTACAAAAAAAAAAAATAACTTGGTTGGCTGCTATAAAGCTTTCCATTGATGAAAGTATTACAAACAAATGGAGCTTCTTATTTGGTGGTTGAATTTGTTCATGGATTTTTCAGGTGCTCTACTTTTTCCCCCCAACAGGTGCTCTGCTGCACACAGCAAACTGAAGCGCATTGCTTTGGGGATAAAGCGTCTCCTCTGGACAGTTAACCCTCTTCAGACCAAACCTCTCCTCCTGACATTATCTGTTCTGCCATCTTTTAATACAGAGATGGTCTAGATAAGATTGGTAAAATATATATATACATATATATATATATATAAAAAAAATTAGAATAGACTGTACCATCCTTTTAAGTCCATCAATGAGCCACTAAAGTTGTATAACATTCAGATTGAATAATTTCTATTCAGAAATATCTCGCCCTTGCCCCCACCCCCTGCAAAGTGGTGTTTGCATTAGTAAAGCATATCAAACCCCTCTTCTTTAGGCCTGCCTGCAGTAGCCAGTTAATGTTCATTTGGTAATCTGCAGTGCACACCCATGAAACATTTGACTAATTCTCAGTAGTGATGATTCTCTTCCTTTTCTTTCCACAGCGATTGTTGCCTATTGATGGGGCAAATGACCTCTTTTTTCAACCACCTCCACTGACTCCTACCTCCAAAGTTTATACTATCAGGCCATACTTTCCTAAAGATGAGGTAATGGTCATCTTCTGTATTTACCTGTGACCTGTGGTGCACATATGTATCTCTACTTTCAGCCCAATAGTTACATATTTTTATTATTCTGGGAAGATTGAAGATCTTTGCAGCATCTTGCTTATGGGGATTGGGTAAGAGAAACATGAGACAACTGAGCACTAGAGATTTATGTAGAAGGTTATAAAAAGCAGGAGCTAGAAGTTCTGATAGGTTCTCTTGAAAAAGTCAAGAATTGCAGGGTTGGGATTCTTAAAAAACAATGATGGGTAGCTTCTGAAGAGTTGATTTTCCTCCTGCATATTAGTTATAAATATTCACTTGATTGTGAGATGCCAGCTGTCAAGATACCATTACTTTTCAATTTTAGTGTCATTGTAATCGTAGCTGGTGATTGATAATGTGTAATTCTTTGAGCAATGATGAAATTACTATTCATACATAAAATAGCTTTATTATAGCAAATGGAGAACTGAGACAATGAGCTTTTTAAAAATCCTTGGATTTTGCTGTAACTATTTAACTTTTATCTGACAAGTGAGCCCTATCAGTGTTCATAGAAACGTTTGAAGTTTTCCAATCATTTTATACACCTCTGCCTTGGTTTTCAACTAACTCTAGTTAACCAACTAGAACTTATATGAGATGGAGCTAGTCTGATTACTCATTCCCTATTAGCAGGTCCAGTCTGACGCTTCTTTCTATCTGACGTTATTCTGGTAGATTTCTTTTGCCACCTTTCTTGACCCATCATCATACTGCATTGTGTTTTTAGGCATCTGTGTACAAGATTTGCAGAGAAATGTATGACGATGGAGTTGGTTTACCTTTTCAAAGTCAGCCAGACCTTATTGGAGATAAGTATGTACCCTCTAAAAACCTGGATGTAGTCATTAAGAAACCATTCTTATTGTTAGCGGTTGAGGAGAGGTGGTCAGTAGATTGGAGATATATAGGGAGCCAAATTAGTGAAGTTAGCATTGAGCAATGAAATTGCTGTTTTCTTCATTGTCAAAATACTACTTTTCTTGAGGGTTGGGTTTTTGAATGATGCTCAATAGGTAAATGAAATCAGATTATCCTTGCTGACATTTTGGTTGGCCCTTCATGTCAAATGTACACACTAAAGAGTCTTTAAAACGTTGCTTTGTAAAAGTTTATTCCAGTTAGTCTACTCTTATCAGCGGCTGTTTCTGTAGGTTTTTAGGTTATTTTAGTGAGTTTAGTATGAGTGAGGATTAAAGTTTTAAGTAATACCATGCTAGCAAACCATGAATTTGATACTCTTTCCTTTAAAACAGGTTAGTGGGAGGCCTGCTTTCCCTCAGTTTAGATTACTGTTTTGTGCTAGAAGATGAAGATGGCATTTGTGGCTATGCCCTGGGCACTGTGGATGTAACCCCTTTCATTAAAAAATGTAAAATTTCCTGGATTCCTTTCATGCAAGAAAAGTACACTAAGCCAAATGGTGACAAAGAGCTCTCAGAGGCTGAGGTCAGTATTGCATATATTCGGAATGAAGTGCAAGTAGGGGAAGCCAGGCAGTCACATTGCTAGATTGTCTTTTACTTGTGGACCAATTCTTAGCACTTGTTTCTTGCATTTTCCCCCTTATCTTTCCTCTTTTCTGTCACCTTAAGACCATTTGATTCTTTGGGAGGACCCATTACAACCTGTGCTTAAGTCAAAACTTGTTACAGTATAATTTAAGATATTAACCATTGAGAAGTATTAGACTGTAAGCTGTACCAAGGTAGAGATGATATCATTGGATTTTCCCCAACACTTGGCAGAGCATTCATATAGTAAATGTTTGTTGAAATCCATTTCCTTTATGAGACTATGTTAATACTTTTTTTGGTAGGTGGTTAACTAGTGCTTGCTTAAATGAGCTAATATTTGACAGTTCACTTTTCCCCCTCCTTTTTTTTTTTTTACTAGACTTTAAGCTCCTTGAGAGCAGGGCTAATAGGCTCTTAAACTTAGATCTCTGTGTTATAGGGCTCAGGGTTCTACATGTGGAAATTTATTAAATATTTTATTTAACTATGACTTTCCATCCCTATCTAATAGTGAAATCACTCCCATAACACTAGATCCCTCACAGTCCCTTATAGCTTTTTTAATTTTTGCTCACTCTAAATGACTTAGATATGCAGTAAAGAATATTGTTTTTGAGTGTCTCTCCTAACTCCTTCAGGGTCAAACTGGCAAGTGGTTTCTGGTTAAGCAGCTACATTGTGCTAGCGTACTGTAGGCAACTTGTATACTTCATATGCAGTTTTCACAATGAAATTGTTGCTTGATATATTTCTTACAAAAAATAACTGGGGTTTTTTTTGTCACTTTTTAGAAAAATGGTAAGTTAGACTTGTAAGTTAAACATTTGGTGACTATATAAGGTGACTTAACAGTGGTGACTACAAAATATACAAGGACAAGAACTGGCAAACAGTTATCTGTTACTTTTTTTCCTTTATCTTTTCCCTGCTCTTTGGCTGTCAGGCATATAACAGAAAGCAACTGATTGCATATTCTGTGATTTCTAGAAAATAATGTTGAGTTTCCATGAAGAGCAGGAAGTATTGCCAGAAACTTTCCTTGCCAACTTCCCATCTCTGATAAAGATGGACATTCACAAAAAAGTAACTGATCCAAGTGTGGCCAAAAGCATGATGGCATGCTTGCTGTCTTCTCTCAAAGCTAATGGTGAGTATGGGTCTTTTGGGGAGTAAGAACCATAAAGAGAGAGAGAAAATAAACATTGGACTAGATAGGAGTATGGGAAACTGGATTGACCAAGAAAACTAGTTATAAGCTGCTTATATATTTATCATTATGACTTTTTTTCTTTAAACTGATAATAACTATTGTGTTTTCTTCCAACTGTCTTTGGGAGATGGTTAGGCCTCAAATAAAGGGTTAGGACCATGAAAATATTGATTCTTATTTTGTCAACTCCAAAAGAAAAACCACAAGTCAAAGCATTGTGACTCTGGGTAGTTTACTTGGGTTTAGTTTCTTTACCTTTAAAACAAAGGGAAAGTTGACTCTCTATTTTTAAGATCTTTTACCTCAGATGCATTTCATTTTTCTTAAAATAAGAGATCAATTTACAGTAGTTCTCAATTAATAGAGTCTTAAAAATCTATCTATCCTTTCAAAATTTCCCTAAATTGGAAAGCCAAGATGGATTTCAGGGTTGGGAATAATGCTGAGTACCTGGTTTGTTACTCTTTATTGTTGTATCCATAGTGCAATGGAAAGACTACTTGATTTGGAGTCAGAGGACCTGGGTCAACCAGAGGCAGCTGGTGATGCATTGGTAGATAAAGAGTGCTGGACCTGGAGTCAGGAATCCCTGCGTTCATATCCAGCTTCAGACACTAAACTATGTGCCTCTAGGCAAGTCACTTAACCCCTGCTTGCCTCAGTTTCCTCATCTGTAAAATGAGGATAATAATAGCATCTACCTTGCAAATTTGTTGTGAAGTTCAAATGAGATAATTTTCATACAAGTACTTAGCACAGTGCCTGGCACATAGTTAGATGCCTGTATAAATGTTTATACTTTTTCCCCTCCCCTTTAAATTATGCTTTTGCTGTACTGCTTCTGTGTCTTGTGTGTCAGTCTCTTTGTGTCTGTTTCCTTATCTGTAAAATGAAGTCATTGAATTAAATAATTTCTAAGGTCTCTAACTCCAGATCAAAACAGTCTGTGACATTTATTTGAGACAGATGCATCTTTTATTTATTTCTAAATGGGCTTTGGGGCATTTTCATTATGTAAGATTCATCCTTTGTTTTTGTTTTTTTAAGGCAGTTGGGGATAAGTGACTTGCCCAGAGTCACACAGCTAGTAAGTGGCTGAGGTCAGATTTGAACTCGGGTCCTCCTGACTCCAGGGCTGGTGCTCTATTCACTATGCCACCTAACTTCCCCAAGATTCATTTTACGTATACAGAACACAATCTAAATAGGTTGTAACTGAATGGATACAAGGCTCCATATTTAATAGGTACCCTTAGGGAACTTGTTGCTTTCTGGAATGGGGCCTTTTTTATAAGTATTTTTCACCATTCGCTCCTTTCTGCTTTTGTCTCTGAAAGGTTTTTGGAATGGGGGACAAACTGTAATTTAAATCAGACCCTTGATGCATCTCAACAGCTGGCATGTATACAGTGCTTTAAAGTTTTCAAAGCATTTTTCATACATACATATATGCATATATATGTTATATGTAAAATTTAAATGAGAATTCATGTAAATGCCCTCTGACATAGGTGCGATACATACAAGGTATGGTTGTACACATCTTAGAAATGAGTCTGTGGAGACTGATGTTAAATGATTTACCCATGATCACAGAGCTAATAAGTTCAGGAATGAGGATTAACCAAGTCTCACATAACTTGTAAGTCCAGCAGTTTCTGTCATACTATATTTTGTTGTCAGATTTTTTGTGGGATTTGTACAGGGATAAATAATTTTTTAAATATTGTACATTTGTCCAATCTGCATCATAATAGCTCCCCTCCTTTACATTTTGAATGGTTTTTGTTTTGTTTTGTTTTGTTTTCAGGCTCCCGTGGGGCTTTCTGTGAAGTAAGACCAGATGATAAGAGGATCCTGGAATTCTACAGCAAGTTAGGTTGTTTTGAAATAGCAAAAATGGAGGGATTTCCAAAGGATGTGGTTATCCTTGGCAGGAGCCTGTGACATTCATTGACATTGTGACCTGTCTTAATGTCTTGACAACTCCCAAGTGGGTGGGTGGTGGTTGGGGTCTCCATGTGGTGCAGCCTCAGGAGAGGAAGAAGTCAGCCAAAGGGACTGGGGCGAGGAGGACTATGTGAAGCCTTACTCATCACACATTCAGACTACCTGCTGTTCAGAAGAGACTACTGCTGTTTAAATTCTGTTTAAATAAGAATTATGGTCCTCCCTTTCAGGTCTTGTGTCACGTGCCAAGACATCTTTCTTGCATCTTTAGGGAAAGGGGTCCTGTCATTAAAGAAGCAGGCAGTAGTTCTCTATATCCGTATGGTTGCATTTCTCACCCGGAATATCCAGCTGAAATCACCTCCTCCTTCATCCTCATTAATTTGTTGAATGATGGGTCCCTTTCCTTTTTGGGTGACATGACAAAAGACAAAACGGTTTCCTTGGAATTCTGATACTACAGAATGGAGAATCCTAGGTGGGATAGTTGTCAATTAGCAACAGAAAATAAGTAGTGACACGTCTGATTTGGGCAATCTTTTTTGCTTGTTCACAAAACTATGGCCAATGTCAGTGGGATGACCATTGGTTCAGGTGTGTTGTGCTTTGTAGGGACAAATGTGCAGTTGTATGTGACAAAAGTCACAAAATACATACTTGTATATTTCTTTGTATATAAACTAGCTGTATGCTTATTAACTCTTGTGTTTACTGTTTTTGTAACTTTTCTTTTGAAATGGAACGGTATTGATCCATGATGGTACTTTTTGAATAATGTAAAACCATATTGGAGGATGGAGTTAACTTTTCTTTGTCCTTGACTTTCTTTTTTAAAATTATTTTTAAAGTGCCTCCCACCCAGGGCTAGACCGTAACCATTTTGTGTATGAAGTCCTGAATTTGGTAAGTGAGGCTGATCTGTTACCAGGTTAATGCTATCACTATTGCCCTAGAAATCAACCCCAGTAGGTTTAGCATGTCAATGTAAGTGATCCCTGACACCTGTTAGGGAACAGGAGCAGGTAGGGCATAGGGAGATGATCAGGATTTGCCCTTAGTTCAGTTGTCCTTTAATTTCAGGACCTGTTCATACTGGTTTGATTAAATCAGAGTCTTTAATTCCTGCATGTTCTTGTTTTTAAAAGAAACACCAGGATGAGCACATACTAACCAATGATTTCAGTGATTACCTACTTTTTTGATGTAACCACAGATTCTGAAAGCTTCATGAATCTCAGATTTAATGTATTGCCTCTTTTTTAGGGGTCTGAGATTGATGCTAGCAAGTAAATTCTCTGCAAAAGTATAGCTTTTCCATCACTTCAGGGAGAGTTCCAGACATAGAACTCACCTACAATCATTTTGGTACCTTATTCCAGCCTTGTGGGGGAGGAAGAGGGAAAAGTATAAAGCTAGTTTTCTTTAAGTAACTCCGTCTTGGAGCCTGCTGGGCTTTAAGTTAACTGGCATCTTGTGGAGAGAAGGCCCTTTATCCCTAGGTATCCAGGGATAACCTTACCCCACCCAGTGGTAGTAAGGCCGTCTCATTTTCAGAGTAGAAGTGTTTTCTTTAATAGGAGAATCTGGCCTGTTTAATATCTAGAAGCAAATTTGCATCTTCATTTTTGAAGTGGGTCAGAGAAGTCCAACTATAGCTTTATGGAAAGAAAAGTTTAATGTCACTGGTTTTTGAGTGATCTCCTAGAGTGGCATATAGCTATCTTGTTTTCTCTGAAGGAACAATTATTCGTGAGCTCCAGACCCAACTTTGAATTTAATCAGGATTCCTAGCATTATGGCCTAGTTTGCTTATGGCCTTATAGCCTGGCTTTATAAGTTGCTGATATCTCTTTCTCTGTCCTTATTAATTCATGTATAAATGCTAACTGTATGGAACAGATGTCCAGGCCAAACACCATCACTCTAGGATTGTAAAGTCATATGTTAACACATCTTTCATGGTTATGAACTTTCATTAAGGTTGGAATGCCACTTTCATTAATCTGTTTAGAGCATCTGAGTTACTTGTAGAAAATGAACTATAAACTGTATTTGAAGACCATGCAAGAAGCAAAATAAAACTTGAAGTGACTGTTTGTTGTTTGCTTCAACTTGGGCAAACCCATTACCTTGGCCCAGTGAAACTTAGGTCTTTTGTCTTGCCCTACCTTAGAGCCAGGCCTTTCACCTTCCATACTTTCATTCATTAACGCTGATTCCAGAGTTTGCTTAGAATTAATAAATAGGGAGGCGTTTCTTTTGTCCCCAAGCCATCCCCAAGGCTCTCCTGCTTATGTGACTCTCAGAACAAGATCAGGAATTGGAGGGAGGAGTTGGCTGCTGTCTGCCAACAGGATAAGTATTCCCTTTTAGAGAACAAACTATCAAGAAGTATTAGCGGCAGCTAGACTGTTCAAATTTTTGAGGCCATCTGAGGAGCGTGCTGCAGGGATCAAGAGATGTTATTGGAGAAGCAAAATCTTGTCCAAGCAAGCTCGATATCCAACAAACATTTTTCTGTTACATACTAAAGCTGGGAATATGAAGTTCCTTGAAGGTAGTTTGTTTTCTTTTAAATCTGTAGACACAGTTATAATAGTGTAAGTAAACAGGTAATTTAAAGAAAGAGGGAGCATGACTAAGTGAATGAATTCTGGGGAGAGTGACACATGAGCCAAGCCTTAAAGGGAGAAAAGGGCTCTGGGTGTTAAGAAAGGAGTAGATTGCAGGCCTAGGGAATTACTTTTGCAAATAAATGGACTGAAGTAGGAGAAAGGAGTATGTCCTGCCGTGGCATAGAATAATAGTCTGCTCCTCCCCAAATATGTTCATGGTAACTAGGACTCGGGTCTTTAAACATACAGATACTGATGTTGGTTTAGAATCAGTGTTCAGGGGGCAGCTAGGTGGTGCAGCGGATGGAGCATTGGCTCTGAAGTCAGGAGGACCTGAGTTCAAATTGCAGCCTCAGCTGTGTGACCCTGGGCAAGTCACTTAACCCCATTGCCTAGCCAAAAAAAAAAAAGACTACAAGACTTGAATAAGCATATTTTGAATTGCAATAATTGATCTTGGCTGTGGGGAGGGAACCTACTGGAGGAGCCAAGTCAATCCTGCTGCTTCTGGCCCTCTTTCACAGTCTCTTCACAGGAACCATCAACCAATGTTGGTTGAACTTCATGGATTGAAAGTCAGAAGACTTAGGTTCTAATCCTAGTTATAGAGAGAAAATATAAGTATATTGGGTGGCTAAAGACTTTGGTAAAGAAGCTGTGAATTCCAACATCCTACTCTTTCAGGTAAGTTTTTGGTTTAGCATATTTTTTCAGCATTTGAGTGTGTGAGCAGTATTTCATACAACTTCTAGGATTAGGCTAGACACTAAACCTGATAGGAGAGGAAAAAGAGTGGTTGATCCTAGTAGAGTTTTTGTAGTTACATACACACATACTCCCTACTTCTCTAGAGGTGTATCCGGGGTATTTTCAGGATGCCTTCCAGCCTCCCACTATGATCTTCAGTGGGAACAAATAAACTGGCTGGAAGTTCCTAAGTCAGGAGTCACAGTGAGTTAAAGGACTGAAGGCAGGGGAATGAGCCACACAACTTAGAAACTGGGAATTGGAAGAGATGCACAATTGTCCTTTGATTTATTGGTAGCTGGGGGTGGGTGGAAGACAGCAGTTTTACCCATAGGTACTTAAGTCTAGTGTCCTGTATTGTTATTTTCTACCATCCTAGGGACTAAGAAATCAGTCTTACAGGTGGAACACTTTTCAGGGTTAGCATAGGAACAGATAGATGTCCTGAGACAGGAGGTGTCTTCTTTACCTCTCATCAAAGTGAAGGTGTTGAGCCCAATTCTGCCTGGGCACGAAGCAGTACTAGGGCTACATCTTACTGTTACATGGGATTTTTTAAGTGTCATAAAAACAAGAGTTGTAGACAGTGTGAGAATTGTCGAAGAGGGGTACTGATGAATTTTGCCAAACAGTTCCTTTGTCAAGTTGAAGGATGTGGAGAGGAAGGGAGGTTAGGAGGAGGAGAAAGTTTCTGAGTCTCATGCTAAGTAGTGGTGTGAGGTGTGGAAGGAGAAGATTCCAGGAAAATGTCACCTTCAGTTCCTCACTTTTCTGGGATCAGCAGTCAACAGGCACAAATTAATTGATGAAGCCATTTTTTTGGTTTGTTTTTTTGTTAGGCAATGAGGTTAAGTGACTTGCCCAGGGTCACACCACTAGTGAGTGGCAAATGTCTTAGGTTGGATTTAAACTCGGGTACCCCTGACTCCAGGGCTGGTGGTGTATCTACTATGTCATCTAGCTGCCCCAGCACGTTGTGTTTAATACTTGGTGCCTTTCATTTCTTCCTCTCCACCCACTCCAATTCTTCCTGAGTAGCCTTTAAGACACTATTTATATGACTATCAGCTTTTCCACCTATACATAAGGAAATATTAAATTAGGTAAGCAACTCCACTGGCATCCGAAGACTCACTTGGCAGGTAAATCCTAGGTTGCTGTCTTGCTGTCCTGGTTGTCAGCTTAGGGGCCAAGCATAACCAGGAAAGCTTCATATCTAAGCATACTAACGAAGGTTTGCAGATCTAACGCCTTCCTTGCTAGCAAGGATAGAGACGGATCTCACTGGCCCAAGGCCCTCTGTGTAGGAGGAAAGTCAGGTAGCTAAGCAGAAGGGCAGCCATTTGAGAAGCTACGTCCCTGCTCTTGGGACAACCTGCCGGAAGGTGCCCAACTTCTGTTACAAGAAGACTACTTTGAGGGAAACTACAGAAGAGGGGATAGGAGCAGTCAGTCTGACCCCTGCTGCACATGTGGCGAGATAAGGTCAGCTTGCAGACGACTTAAGAGAGCGCTCAGGGCTCCAGTGTGCTGGTCGGTGTGTGCAAACGCCGCTCAAGGGGCGGGTGTGGGTGCGTCTATCTTTTGCTATCTGCTTTTTGGGAAGGAATCGACTCCCACGGTTTGCTTAAGGCCAAGGGAGGAGGGAGACAGAAGGAAGCCCCCGCTCACCTCGCCCATCTCTGGGGCGGAGCTGGTCACTATTAGGTTGTGCTTAAGTCCCCCACCTCCAAGGCTCAGATGGGTGCTGCCCCTTTAAGAAGCGCGGCCGGAACCGGCGACGGTCCCTTGCTTTGTGCGTGCTGGGGATGGAGTTTGTAGACGGTCCCTGCAGCATGGCTGCCGCCTCTGCCTCCTCGGCGTTTCAGGCACAGGAAAGCCGGGCCCGGGCTGGGGGCTCCATGGGATCCCTGAGGCTGCGGGGCCTGGGCCCAGTCACCATGGACAGCTTCTTCTTCGGTACCTGATAGGGCAGAGGGAGAGGGGCCACAGCCATTCAGATGTGAGCGGGATGGGCGTGGGAAGGAAGACAGCTGGTGCTGGTGACCGAGGGGTCCGGAGCGACCCCCTACTCCCTGCCCTCCCCAAGCTGTGCGGGGCCGAGGGGAAAGATCGTGATTCCCCCATATCTTTGAGGTGGGAGGAGTTGGGGGCCAGATGTGGGCAGCACGTGGAGAGGGCGGAGCCGGGGGTGGGGGAGGGAATGACCTGAGCCACCACGTGGGAGGGAGGGGGTAGGACTGGGCGAGGAAGGAGCACTCCCAGGGCTACCTCAATACCCTCCCATTCCCCTTCCATTCCCCATTGCACCACCTTCCCCAGGTTGTGAGCTGTCCGGGCAGGCTAGGTCCTACACCTTCAAGGTAGAGGAGGAGGACAACACGGAGCATGTGCTGGCACTGACCATGGTGAGGGGATCCACATGTAATTTGTAGGCTTCCTTCTGTAATCCCACCCTATGTATGCATCCAGCTAGAACTGGATAGAGAGATGGCCTATCCATGTCTCTATCCAGATAGTGTCCAGAGAATGGCATACCCCTTCCAAGGCCAGGGCTGCAGACACCAGGATCCCTGGACTCCCAGACTAACCAACTGCTGCAAAGCTCCTTCTAGGAAACCTTCCATAACTAATCCTCTTCACTGGGTATGTGGCCTAGTGATTGAGGGTGAGGGGATGGGGGGTGGGGGTCATTCCAGTGGGTCTGACCAGCTCATCGGAGCCTGATGAACACGGTGCCTGGATGACTGTGAGGCCTTGGTTCTGTCTGTCATCTCCCCCCAGCTCTGCCTCACAGAAGATGCTAAGGAAGAATGCAATATTGTAGAGGTGGTGGCCCGAAACCATGACAATGAGGAAATTGCTGTGCCACTGGCCAACCTGAAACTGTCCTGCCAGCCCATGGTGAGAGTAACCCCTCACCCTTGTCCCTTCACCCCAATCTGTAGCCTAGAGGCTGGGGTGTTCTTTTTATTTTTATCACTTCCCATGAAACCTCAAGCCAAGAAAGACCCTAAGGACTAACACTTCTGAAGTTACTTCGGTTTCTTAGATGGCCTTTGAAGGCCCTTCTAGCTCTATGTTTCTGATCCTTTGACTTACTCAGCTGTAGGGTTTGGACCAGGGCTATGAGCCCTCAACTAGACTTCTTCCTTCTCTACTCCCTCAGCTCAGCCTAGGTGATTTCCCACTCCAGCCTCCAGTGACCTTCCACCTCTGAAGTCCGGCTCTGGTCCTGTGTGTGTCACCGGAGGCACCAGATTGGTGAGGGGGTTGTGGAGATGCCAAACTACCCCCTTCCTGAAGCATCCTGTCTTTCACCTTCACCGGTGATCATCTCTCCACTGTCTGGAGACCAAACTGTCTAGCCATTCAAGACTCTATAATCAGGCACCTGCCTACTTTTTGAGCCCTTTCTCCAATCCAATCAGACAAGTTCCCTCATTGCTCCCATATATGCCAGACCTGGGCCTTGGCTTACCTTATTTCTTGCATGGAATGCTCTTCCCCCAACCTCACACCCCTTATAGCTTAGCCATCTTTAAATGATCTAAATCCTACCTGTCTTAGCCAGTTCAACTCTCTTTCCTCTGGTAAGCATTCCCATACCAACCAAGCCTTGACTTTCAGTGGTGGTATTGTCATCAGGAAACAATTCTGTTATTGTTCTTGGCTTGCCTCATCTGTAGATGCTATTATCTCAGCCAGGCTATAAACTTCCCAAGGACTGGGAGACTGCCTCTGGTGGTAGTGATGTCCTGGGGAACCCCTACTCCTAGTGTGTCTTCCTTCGATGTGGCTGATTCTAAGTCTAGGTACACAATGGGGCTCAAGAGACAGGGGAGGGGCAACTAGGTGGTGCAGTGGATAGAGCACTGTCCCTGAAGTCAGGAGGACCTGAGTTCAAATCCAACCACAGACCAAACACTTGACATTAGCTGTGTGACCTTGGGCAAGTCACTTAACCCCAATTACCTATTAAAAAAAAAAAAGAGAGACAGGAGACATCCCCCTCCATGATGCTGATGGTGTGTCTGCTCACTAGTGTCTATGGAGGACAGTGAACTCTCAGAAGAGGATGAGAGTGAAGACAGGGACCCAGAACTGCTGCCCATTCTGCCTGCCAAGAAGCGGCAGGGGAGGCTATAACTGGCAAAGGTGAGTGGGAAGGGATACCCCACTGCACTCCACTATCTCACTAGGGGTACAGTGGTGAGGGAAGGAGGAGCTCCTTTCTCCAGTACCCAAGTCCCAGGGTTGAGATGATGGGACTGTTGAGTGAAGGCTGACCTCTCACCTGTCCTATCTCTCTTTGTCTTTTCAGGCCCACAGTTGTCTCTCCCTCCCACTCACATGGTCCTGTTTCTCCTGGATGTTTCAAAAATGGTTTTTTTTTGGTTTTCTTGATTTATCTGCAAGAGAATAGGGACCAGAACAGCTCTTAGGGACAAAGAGAAGGAACCCTGGTGCCCTTTCTTAACCCCCAGCAGAACCCTATCCCAAGGTCAAAGTATGGAGAGTGGGATATTGTCTCAACACAAGCCCTACTTCCTCTCTCCTCTCTTCCTCCCCCTCACCTCTTTGCTCTAGGCTTTTCTCACCCTCATATAGGGAGGAAGGTGTAATCAGTGGATGGGGTGAGGGAATGGAAGAACAAAGATTTTTCCTTCCTCCTGAGATGGACAGTGAAATGATTTTATTCAGAAATCTAAGTATTTCCAGACATTTTAACATTTTTGTAAGAAGTTGAAAATAAAGTGGTTTTTTGCAGGGGGAACCCTGCAAATTCATCTGTTTTATCTTCCTGGTGAGGGGTGGGAAGTGTCTTCCTGTTTGAATTTTGGAGGTCCTTGGGGAGTAGAGTTCCTAGTGGGACCACCAGATGGCAGTCTGGCCTCATGGAGGGGAAGTAGGGCAGAAGTGGGGAGGGGGATACTTTGTGAAGGCTGGAAGTGCTGCCTCCAGGGGGCATCTTAAGATTCAGTCCCCCTTTTACCCCTTTTCAGCTATGGCTTGGTTTGGGACACAATATGAGGAGACTCTTCCCCCACGGAAGACTGAATTGCTGGCTAGCTCACCCCAAAGTATTCATTGCAAGTGGCATGTATTCCCTAACAAACCAAAATCACTGAAGTCATTGCTCTTCCAGCGCCCCCTCCCCCCAATGCACACACACACACACACACACACACACACACACACACTCCATTCCCAACTCCTGAGTGTGAAAGAAGGGGAGGGCCAGACCCTGGGAGGTTATCAGCATCCAAACATGGGTCTGGGCCTCTGTCAGCACTGGGCTGAGGAGCCCTGGGGAAGGGGGTGACACATACTCTGTCTTGTGGAATGAAGAAAAAGGAATGCCTAGCCCCTTCTCTGGGGACTGAGGCTCAAGCTGGGCCCTCAGACTTAGCCCCCAGTGGCATTGGTGGGGAAGCACTGTGCCCTGGGGTCTCTACCAGATAAGGGGAGGAAAGAACATACTTCACAAAGGGCTGAGTCAGCTCCTCTACCCTACTACCCTACCTCCCCCCTCTCCCCTCCACCTTTGTGAAAGTTGCTGGTCTTCTCTGGACTATCCTAAGAAACCTGATTCAGGGCCAGATGGAGAGGGAGGGGTTAGCATCCCAGATTGGGTGACTGGGTAACTAGAGTCCATTCCCACACCCCCCCCACCTGGCATATGGGGTAGGGTGCTACCAGAAGGGAGATTACTTTACAGGTGCTCAGAAGGGACTATCACCGCCACCACTATCGTCTCAACAGTCTTGCAGTGTTGGAGACTCAGGACAGAAGGATGCCATTTTTCTGTGTATGTTGCCGAAACATTGAGATTCTCTTCTCTCCCCCTTCTCTTTGGTCTCTGCTTAGTCCAGAGGCCCAGGATAGTCCACAGGCTGCGTTACAAAGTCCTGGGGTGAGCAGTTCAGGGCAACCAGAAGGTCAAATACACTCAGGATTCTAGAAATAGGTTTCTTCCCCCTGCCACTTTCAGGGAGGTGGGGTGTTTTGTTTAGAATGACTTTAGTTGAGTGGGAGGCAAGATCTTCAGATCGCAAATACCATTTTAGCATTTTCTGTCTGTAGTCTTCAAGGTGGTACAGTGAATTGTGTGTTGGACCTGCAGTTAGGAAGACAAGTTCAAATCTGGCCTCAGGTACTTAGCTGTGTGACCCTGTGTAATCTCTATCTGCCTTGGTGTCCTCAAATAATAATTGCAGCTACCTCGGAGGGTTATTGGAAAGATAAAATATTTGTTAAACACTTTGCAAATCTTAAAGGGACATGGAAATACCAGCTATTATTATTGTATTAGATTCCCCAAAGAAGACAGCAGCTGGGGGGGGGGGCAGGACGATGATGATGACAAGGAGAGGGAAGTATCCTGGGATCTTCTCTTGGTCTCAAAGGGAAGGGGTCAACCAAAAAAACGGTTATGCAGCTCCTTGGGAGGCTGATAATGGCAGCTTTATGGATCTCCGTAGAGAAGAGTAAGGGTCATTGGCTCTGGATTGGTCCTGTCTCATACATGCAAATCTTTAGAATAATAAACTTATCAACATATAAGACTCACCCTAATGAGGAAAGTTATCTCTCTTCTAAATTGATGAGTGTGAATGCATCCCCAAAGCACTGATAGAGTTGGTGAGGGGGATTAGAATGTCCAGCCTAAGCCCTGTCCCAGCCCAATTGCAAACCACTCAATACCGCTGCTGACACTGGGAGTCTGAGACATTCCTCCCAACCTTTCTTTGTATGCCATTAGAGTAGCCAACAAATATATAATTTACTATGTGTCAGGCATCTTGTTAAGCATTGAGTATAAAAAGGGAGGGGTGTCAAAAACACAGTGCCAACCCTCAAGGAGTTTACATTCTAATGGGGAAGACAATGTGCAAAAAATTATACATATAAGATATAGAAAGTATAAACAGAAGATAATCTTAGAGGGAAGGGCGCTGGATGGGGAGGAGGACAGGGAAAGGTGTCCTGCAGAAGGCAGTATTTGAGCAGAGAAACTAGGAGGTGAGGACGGAGAGCATTCCAGGCATGGGGTCAATTGCAGATAATCAAGGTTTGGGTTGGCTACACTGCACTAGGTGTTTTCCAAAAATAGATATAGCTCCCTGCGCTCCTCACAACACCTCCCCCATGGCTGAGTTAGGGAAGGGTGAAGAGGGAAGGAAGCATAGCTGGGAAACTGATCTCTCACCAGCTTCAGAATTCCTAGGGACTGATACCACCTGGTGGGCAGGGCTAGAATATTGCTGAGCCAGAGAAATTGGCCCCCATTTAGACCTATCACCACCACCACCCTAGGCCCAGTTCCCCATTCTTCCACCCACCTTGGTTTCAGGCAAGAATACTGGGGCACTGAGGGAGTCAGCCTCAGAAGGAGAAATATAGGGAATCCCCTACATTATGTATTAGGCACTATACCAGAGTGTCTCATACCCAAGCCTGGTCAGGGGAGAAGTAAGGAATGAGGCAGGGAATAGCAAAAAGGACAAAGCCCAAACCTTATTCATCTTTGTATCTCTATCACTACATAGCACACAGTAGGCACTTAGTAAATGTGTTCATTATGAATGAGCAAATGAATGAATCTTGAAGCGTGAGTTCCACATTTGTGAGCTTAGCACCTGTGGGATGTCTCAGACCTCATGGCTGGGGAAGAGTAGTCCTGTGGGTCCCATCCCTATGGAGTATATATGGGGTGCAGAGTGGGACTTCTGTTAAGTCCTCCCATACACTGTGGACAGTCATTCTAACCCTCTAGCACTCACACATACACGACCTCAACCTACCTGTGTCTCCCCACCTATGGATTATGCCAAGCTTGTATGTGGTCTCCAGGAGACTGAGTGTTTATTGAAAGTCTGGTTTGAAATCTGGCTTATAGTGGGAGCCTATTGTATTTATGTGGCAATGGTGTGCGTGGAAGTGTCAGCCTGCATGTGTTAATAATGTTATTTAACTCTTGTATTGTTATTTAACTTGCCATGTGTGTCTTCTTTCCCAGGCAGACTGAGCTCCTATAGAGTAGACACTGAGGCTTCACCCCTTCCTGTCTCCCCTACAGGTAGCCCAGGCAAGGGGGCTGGCTGGCCCTGGTGAGTGGGAGGGGGAGGCAGGATTCTGGAGGGAAAGACTGGTTGATTTTGATGTATGAAGAGGTTTATGTAGACCATTCCTATTGCAAAATGGATACCTCTTTACAATGAACATGTTGATATTTGTAGACAGGAGAGTATGTTTTGAAGATTCATGGCCTGAGTGTGTTTGTAAATATTTGGTAGCCAGAGACCATGCCTTATCTGTCTTCAGTCTTCCCCTCAGTGGCAAGCACAGGGTTGAGTACATAGAAGACTCAATAAATAGAGGCTGGGTTTTTGTTTTGTTTTGTTTTTGGCTGTTTAAAGAGTTTGTAAAGTGTATGTCAAAAGGATTTTAGTGTGTTTGTAGAGTATTTGTCTAAAGGTGCATGTTTATAAAGTGTGTCTAAAGGGGTGTGTTTGTAGTGTTTGTTGTTTGTGCCTAAATGTATGTGTTTAAAGTTGTGTGTCTCCAGAGGGGTGTGTATGAGAGTGTGTGTGTGTGTGTGTGTGTGTGTGTGTGTGTGTGTGTGTGTGTGTGTGTTTTGGTAGAGAATGTGTGTGTTCTTAAAGTGTATTTGTAAGGGGGAGGGAAGCCTCCAAGGGGCTGAGGCTGTCACTCAGGGATCAGGCTGACAGGAGTTCCTACTATCTGGGGCTGGGAGCTCGGATTGCTGATTCGAGGAAACAAAATAGCAATTGTAATTACGGGGCTTTGATAAGATAAAGGAGCGAGCTGGAGCTGGAGAGAGCCTGGAGGAATCTTTACAGGAAATTAGCATCTGTCAGTCATGGGAAGGGGGGAGGGAGACGGACCACAAACTCGGGCAGGAACAGGTACCTACTCTAGCTGCTTCTTTCCTCTTGCCACATCTCCTGGCCCTAGATCCCCAGGGTGACCCTACCTTTCTTTCAGTCTGCACCAGGGGTGCAGGGTCGTTCTCATCTTCTGATCACCTGACTGGAAGCTACAGATCTTTCTTAAGACTTGGGGGTGGGGGTAGCAAGGGAAGAATACAAAAGATAGGGCTATCGCCAGCCAGCCCAGGCAGGGTTTTCTTGGTCTAAAGTTGTGTCTAGTTGGCTGAGATGGGAGTAGAGATGGAGTATTTAGGAAACAAACAGTTGGGAAACGGTAAAAACATAAGGCTGTAGGGGTAATGGGAGGAATCCCTAGAATGTGTAGATCTTGGGGATTAGATGAGGGTCTGGGAATGGTATCCGTACTAGAACCTTAAGACTTTAGTCAGGTTAATGGAAATTCATCTGCCATAACAACACCCTGGTCCTAGTCTCAACCCCCCTGGGCTCAGCTGGGTTAACAGCAAGCTGGGACAAAGGAATCCACTGGAGTACACTGGATGGAGTTTTAGTTCCCTTAAAGTTCTCAGTTTGGGGAGTGATTTCCTGCCACCATAAAGATTTGGGACCTGGGAGTGGGGTTGTTTCCCATTCCCTCTGAATGCCTTCACCAAGCATTCTCATGCAGAAAAAGCTAGGTTGGGGTTCAATATGTTAGTAACCGGTCCAGTTTGTGGACCTGGCCCATGTCTCCTTCAGACTTCAGTTCCACCATTTATGAAGTGGATATAGATACTCCAGAATTTTGTTGTGGGAAGGCAAGGAGGGAGGAGGGGAACTGATTTGGGTTGCCTTCTGGATTTAGGGATTTGAATAAGGAGGGAGAAAATAGAGGAGTCCTTTGGAGAGAGCCAGGTTGGGTATTTAGGATACTATCTCAATGTGACATCTACCAGAATTTGGGTGGGAGGGCACCACCTCAGAGAAATAAGTGGCTGACCCATCCATATCCATCATCTCCCAAAGCCCCCAGGGTGGGGCCCAAAGTAGGTCATCTAGGGCAGGTGAGGATACACCTAACACTGTCCAGGGCTGCTGCTGGCTGGGCTTCATACTAGCTCAGGACCCCCATAGGTTTCCATCCCAGTTCTCTTTGTAATTCCTTCTGGCCTGGGAGGCCCTTGTCTTCTTTATCCCCACTGGCTTCAAGAGGTCCCATCTCTTGCAGGACAAGATTATACAGACCCTTACATACTGGAGGTGAAGGTTCCAGTAAGCCAAGATCTACCTGATGGGAAGGGGGTAAAGGGCTAGGTTTGGAAGGAGAAAATAGTTGTGCTTTAGAAGTCCGGGAAAAGCTGCTGGCCAGTCCTTTGTGGGACAGAGGCTAAGGCGTTCGTAGGGTTGATGGCAGTGTTACAGGAGCAACTTTCCCACTTCTACCTTCGGAGTGCAAATCCTTCTGGGGCACAGAGGAACTGCCCCACCAACTCTAAGTCTGACCCTGGGAGCGACACATTTTGAATGAAAAGCTGTGTATTTGGTCCACCGTGGAGGGAATTCTGGGGCTTCCCAGAAAGGGAGTGGAATTGTCCGGACCAGGGCCCTGTCCTATATCTGCTGTAGAGGGGGCGCTCTCTCCTTCCCTAGGGAATGGGGGACAGGGAGCCGGACTTCTTAGTCCTATAGGAGCGGAGTGAAGGAGTATGCTGGGGGTAGGGAGTCGGGGAAATTTTCCTCTCCCCATTGACAAACACCCGTAGTGCATTCATACACAATCTTAAATACGGGTGAGGAAACAAAGCACTACTGATCCGATGACCTTGGAAAAGTCTCTTCACATATGAACCTCAGTTTCCCCTCGGTTGTATGCAACAAGTTCTTTAAAGCTCGACAGATAGTCAAGGTAACTTGCCCAAGGTCATATACAGTAGCCGTTAAGTGACAGACTAGAACCCAGGTCTCCTGATATCCAAGGCTCCCTTTGCAACAATGTGGTTTCTCTCTGATAAACAGAATTACAGACACTCAGGGTCTGTGACAGACACAGACACAGCAGGGCACTTAGTAGGCTTTTAAAATGTTTGTTGAACTCAAAGACGCATGGTCATAGCCTAGCAGGCAGCCCTTAAGTTCCGGATAAGTGGGGAAACCACGTCCAGAGACCATTAAGCTATTGCTGTCTGGGTTCTAGAGGCCACGGTCCGCGGGAAGGGTGGAAGATCTCGGAGGCCCCCTTCAGCTTTGGGGTCTCGGACACCAGGGGCCAAGCCAAATTTTCCTGGGCTCTGAAGACCCCCCCTTCTCCCCTTTCAAAGCAAGAACTGGGCAAAGGAGGGGGAAAGGGGGCTGGAGTAGCCAAAGCCTACCCCACTGTACCCGAGACCCCTCGCCCCGCCTCCCACGCCTTCTCCCCCCAGACTCCAGACCCCAATCCCCATCTCTCGCCCCGCCCCCTCCCCTCCCAGGGGCTGCTCAGCAGCCCCGTTCCCAGCCCAGGCTGCGGGTTCCGACCGCTGTGCGCTGTGCGCTCTCCCCTCTTGGCGGGTGCGAGAGCCTGCGGGGGCCCCCCTCCCCTTTCCCCTCCCCCAGTCTTTCCCTCCTTCCCTCCCCTCCCCACCTACCCCCGTCCCCACCCCCCCACCCCCCGCCCCGGCTTCTCCTCTGGTTGAGGATCCTGTGCAGCCTCCTGCCACCCGCTCCACGCATCGCAGCGGGACCTGGCGGGGGTGCCTCACCGAGCCGAGCCGAGCCGCGCCGCGCCGCGCCACGCCGCGTCCGACCCTCGAGCCTTTCCGAGCTGCCTCTTCTCCTTGGCTGCCTCTCCTCGGCCTCCACTTCTCCTCTCTTCTCTCCTGCTCTATCTGCCCTGTCCCCCACTGTCCTGTCCTCCTCTCCCAGCTGGTCGGTCCGTCCCGGACGCGCCGCTGGCCCTCTCGGGCTCCTCTCGGGCAGTCCGCCCCCATCCCGCTACCGCGCCCCCGACGCCGCCCCAGCTCCATCCCAGGGGACTAGGTCTCTGAGCATCTGGGATTTTGCGGGCCCGGCCCGGCCCGGCCCCTCAGCCGTCTTCATGCTCCCGACCCTGCGCGTCATGGGCAGCCCCCGCTCCGTGCTGAGCTGTTTGTAAGTAAAGCCGCCGCCGCCGCCGCTCACTTCCACCAGTCCCCTGCGCCCTAACGGCCGCCCGCCCACTCGCCCCCGGAAAGCCAAATCACTTCCCTCTTTCCTTCCCCCGGCCGCCGCAGCCTCTGCTCACACCCCTCCCTCCCCCCCTTCCTCCCGCTTTTGTCTCCTCCAGGCTGTTGCACTTGTTGGTCCTCTGCCTCCAAGCCCAGGTAAGGAGCCTTTGGCCGCCTGTCGGCTCTGCGCGCGTGGGACTGGCCGGGGATGGAAGGGAGGACGGGAGACTGGGCTAGGGACTGGAGCGGGCTGGAGACAGGACCAGCTCCAGGCGGGCAGGCAGCCGGCAGGACTGAGTTGGGTGAAAGCAGAGCAGTGCAGGGAACACTAGATGGGAAAATAATTAGATGGAGCCAGTTCGAAAAGGTCAGGCAGCGAGCGCACTGGCTCAGCCTCAGTTGGAGAGGAGGCACTGAGGTGGGACAGGATGCTGAGCGGGGGAAGGCAGGCACAGTTAGTCCAGAAATGGCAGTACCCCCAGCCCGGGGTCCAGACAGCCCGCGTCTGAGTTAATGGGGAACTTAAAGATCCTCTAATACAGCCCTCTCATTTTATGGATGGAGAAACAGGCTCAGGAAGAAAAACTTCCCAAGGTCATACAAATCCGTTAATGACAGAAGCTAGAAGTAGAAATCAGTCCCCTTACCTCTCAGCCCAATGCTCTTTCCAGTTCCCCAGGGATGGCCAGAGAGGGGTCAGGACAGGAGGTAAGCCAGGTGGTTGCAAAGGCACCGCAGAAAGGAGAGCAGTGAGTCATGGGGCAGATGTCATATGTGGTAGCTAACGGAGGCATTCTACAGAGGAAAGAGAAGAGAGCAAGGCAGATATTAAGGCCCCAGATGTTGTTCAAAGCTGCCCTGAAGCGCTCTCTCTCTCTCTCTCTCTCTCTCTCTCTCCTCTCTCTCTCTCTCTCTCTCTCTCTGTCCTCTCTCTCTTTCTCTCTCTCTCTCTCGACAGGGTTGGGAAACTGAGAGCTGCCCCAGTTCGTGGTAACAGGTTGGGGTTAGGGGTTTAGCAAACGTCTGGCTCCTGGGACAGACAGATGGGTCAGGAACAAATCCCTGGTGGGTGTGAGGCAGCTAACTTGGTTGCAGAAACAGAGAAATAAGAAGCCCCCAAACTGCCTGGAGCTGGAGAGAAACAAAGAATGCCAGAGGAAAAAGAGAAGAGAAAAGAGTCTAGGAAGGAAAGAAACTGTAGAAACTAGGATTCAGTTCACATTCGGCAAAGAGAAATAGGCATCCTGACAGTGGGTGGGACTTCTCACAGAACTCCTCATAGACCCCTTCACTTTGCCTGGCAAGGGCCCCCTGGGGAAATCCCCCCCTCAACCCTCAGGGTATAAGGAAGGAGCATTCTATGTCATCAAGAAGAAAATACTTGTGAGCACAGGATAGGACCCCCACACCACCCACTGATCTCTCCCCAAACCACAGGTCTTTTTTCCTCTTAGTTGTTTCATAGCCTGAAGCAGGGCCAGGTCAGGTTAAGCCCTCTCTGGTCCTCAACATTTGTTCTAAATACATCTTTATAAATGTCATTGGGTGAGGTGTACATTTAAAAGACTCAGGGGGTCTAAGAGAGAAGTGGGAGAGCTGAGGGCTGACCCAGCTTAGGTCTTGAAACCTTGCCACCTCCTACTAAGAGAGACAGAGGAGGGTGGATAGAGACAAGATGTGTGGGTACTTTCTCCATACACTTGTTCCTTTCTTTCTAACCTGTTCTGAGCTCCCCACATCCTTACTGTAAATATCCCAGTGCACATGATAATGGGTCCAGGGTCCAGAGAATAGTTGAAGCTGCAGCACCCAAATACCTAAGGTGGATGGTCCTGCTCCGAAATTTTCCTGATATATCTTAGGATTAGGCTAAAGTATATCATTACCCCAAAGTGAGACCCTTCTAAAACTCCAGAGTGTAGGCAATGGGGGAAAGTAGTATATCTCAGCATGATATATAGATTGGGGGGGGGCGGCTGGGAGGAGAGGGATGGTGAATTCATATGTGTTTGTAAGTAGGAACAAAAACTCAGCTCTGGGCATCTGTGGTGCCCCACCCCTCTGATTTAGTACCTGGGGGAGTTTCTCAGGTTCAGGGTGGAGAGGGTCACTCAGACCCTTGGGAGGAGTAGCATTATAATGGTGTGTTGTATATTTTTCAATTTCCTAAAGGTAACTGTTCAGTCCCCACCTAATTTTACACAGCATGTGAGGGAGCAGAGCCTGGTGACGGATCAGCTCAGCCGGCGCCTCATTCGGACCTACCAGCTGTACAGCCGCACCAGCGGGAAGCACGTGCAAGTCCTGGCCAACAAACGAATCAATGCAATGGCAGAGGATGGAGACCCCTATGGTAAGGCTGGGGCAGAGACCAACTGCCACTGGGCATCAGAGGTGGGCTATAGGGCACAGAAACTGACAGGCACTGTCGAGACCAGATAGCAAAATACCCACAGGATCCAACCACTTCAGGACAGCACCCAGGAGGAAAAGGAGTCTATTGTGACACCTTCTCCCACTCCTACCCTAGGTGCAGGCATTAGATGGTCTTAATGGGGTGGGTACCATCAGTCTCTGCATGGAAGTCCTTAGAACATTAAGGCTTCCCAGGAGAGAGAGGGGCTCTTCAGAGCTCTGAAGCACTGGGGAGCAAGGTGACTCCAAGATTATAAGGTATCCTTCTTTCCTAGATATAAATGAATTTCCATCCTCCCCCACAGCTCCACTGTAGCTTGAAAATGGAGTCCGGCTGGGGTTTCTCAAGTAGCTTAGGCAAGCAGGCAGGGGATAGAAAAAACTCCACAATAAGGGAAACCCTTGAAAGGGGATATGTCAGACAGGGCCCACAAGAAATCGCCCTGGACTCTCTTCGGAGTAAGGGTGGGAAGGAAGAGAATACTTTGGTTGGGGGGTGGAGGGAATCCTGAGAAGTGTGAAAGTTTAAATACTTTGATCATAAGTGTCAATTACAGAATCACTTGGTCAAAAGGGCCACATTGGGCTTTCAAGGAGGAGCTGGTAAAGGAAGCTCTCTTTTTCAGGGTGAGGTGGGCAAACCGAGGATAGAGGCTATGGTGGCTTATTGATTTCAAAAACATTCAATATTCCTGCCTTGAAGGTGGGGCCATTTGAGAGTCTTCCATGATGTACTGAGAGGGGAAAAAAAGAGAGCCCTTTGGGGCAGTGAGCCAGTGGGCAGGCAAATGTTGTTTCAGGGAGTTATTATTGTGGCTTTTAAAAACCTTTAAATAATGACCAAGTTAAACCAGCATGAGAGGAGAGGGGAAGACTCTGTTAAAATGTAATAAAAAGGTGGAACATTTTAAGGGCTAAGAAGAAAAATGAAGACTGATAGAACACAGAGAAAGGACAAACCATTTTTCAGATGTAAAGTGTGAAAGGAATTGCAAGTCTGTAAAAGTTAAAAAAAAAAAGGCTCTGAAATTGTTCTCCGGGAATCTCTGGAGAGAGCCCTCGTCTGGCAGAGCGATTAAAATCCTTCTGACTTTTGCCTTTTTGAATGTTTCCTGAATACTTTCTCCTCTTCTCAGGCTAGTTTGGGGATCGAGTATGTCTCACTGCATTTTTTCTGCCTCTACGTAGCTGACTTTCCTTCAAAGCTCGAGCAGGAGACATCATTTTCCTGAGATAAATCTGTCACTTAGAGGAAAGAATAGGTTTAAAAATGTTCAGCCTTCTAAAAGCACAATTGCGAAATATGGCTGCTACTGTACCTGACTGGCCAGTGTGAAAACAAGGAGCTGGTCTCTGGCTTCAGGACTAGCCATCGGGGTTAAAGAGTGGTACCCTCTACTCCCATCCACTCCACTCTCTCTTAGTTCTATGAGGAAACAGTTTGTCATGCACATTGTCCATCTTCCACTGAGCCTGCCTCCCTAAGAATGTTTGGAAGTGGGGGCAGGAGTTGGTGAGGTCATAAGAAGAAAGATGCTATTTGGACCTGATGAAACTGATCATTTGAGATCTGGGGCCCTGAGAATCTCCCACAAGGGGAACCTTGAAGAGCAGGACCCAGTAGGGGGCCTTGCCTTTTCATAGGAAGAAGGCATTGACATCCCACTCTGATTCCTCCTCCATCCCCGCCTCCCTGCTTTCCTTTTCCTTCTGAACCAGGATAAGATTCCTGATGGGTTCTGGCCCCAAAAGGAGGGAAACTGGTTGTATGTGAGCAGTGTTTGGGGTGAAGTGACTGTGTAAAGAGCAGAGAGGGCAGAAGGGAGGACAGTGGAGCAGTTTCCCTAGCTGTAAATAAGTACCCCCCCCAGTTGTAAATCAGTTCCTGGGGCTTCAGGAAAGGGCTAGAGGAGGGAGCCAAGGACATCTTTAAAAGCAGCAGTCCCATCTCCAGCTCCGTTCAGGCTGGGAGGTAGATGACATCATTGGCTTCAGCTTCCCTCTTCCCCCAATCCCAGCCATCAAAGTCACCTCTTTCCCTAACCCTCCAGCCTCAACTCTTAATTTTCTAATCTTTCTTCAGCATTCCTCTCTCAATGGAGACTTCTAAAATAGATCCATATAAGCAAAGATTTGAGGTTCCCTATTCAGTGAGGTCAGGTGGTAAGTAGGGAGGAAGCTTATTGAGAAAAAAGTAATAAATTTTCTTGAGGTATTGAGCGCTGGGCCTAGAGACTTGTGTATCTTCACTGGGGAAAGGGAGGGGTATGGCTGCTGTTCTAGTCTGGAGTCCAAGGTGGGAAAGGTCCATGTATCTTTTTTTTTTTTCCAGTCAGTGTTACTGGTTTTCTGTCAGTTTGGGGATGGTAGCTGCTAACACTACCCTTGATCAGGGTAGAGTAGGGCTGCCCATGAGCAAGAAGGGTGAAACTGCTGTGGTCCATCTGATGATCACTCCCTTCTCTCTGGCAGCCAAACTCATAGTAGAGACAGACACCTTTGGAAGCAGAGTACGAGTCCGGGGGGCTGAGACAGGCCTGTACATCTGCATGAACAAGAAGGGAAAGCTGATCGCCAAGGTAAGGTCTTAGGCTGGAGGGGTTGGATCCTAGGCTAACAGGCTAAATCAGATGCCCCCCTCAATACCCATACTATTTGTTCTCTGGACCAAAGACATCTTTGCCACCTTCAGTTTCAGAGTGAGTAGATTGTCACCTCTGGGGTCGGTCCCATGTTTATTGTGTTGGAGTGAAGGGATAAATCAAAGAAAAGAAAAAATAAAGCTCAAGTAGGAAGAAGGAAGGCCTAGTTAGCAAGGGCGGGGGGAGCTGCCGAATTCCATATATCTTCTTAACAAATCACCAAATTGCTTTGCTATTATGTCCAATTCCATGGTACAAGCATTTGCAATGTTCAGCAGCTCTGTGGAACCAGCCCCTCTGCAGAGCTCTGAAATACCCCCATTAGTCACGGCTACTATGCTTCGCCTTGGGCCACCACTGCTTCCTAGGCTGGGGGCTCAGCCCAGCTCCTACTCACTGGCTATTCCCCACCCCCACCCCAACTCACTTCACTCTTCCAGCCTTTGGACTCTGAGGGAGTACTAAGGAACAAAACTTCACTGTAGGTGTGCTTTCTGCTAACATTCGTCTCTAAGGGTTACAAGGGACCTCCTGATAGTCCAGCATAGGCCTTCTTTCCCGCCTTGCGATCGCACAGCTTTCTCATCTTCTCAGATCCCCTTACCTCCCCGTTCACTGGTCTCTTTGGCAGAACAGAGACTGATATGATAGGGAGGAGGGTTGCCCCGTTATGTGGGGCTAGAATCCCCAAACAGCCTCTACAGGTGGAGAAGCCCCACTCACTGGGAATTCTGGGAACTGGCCATTAGCCAGAGAGGATAGACTCAGCAGGCAGGAGGCTCAAGTTGTGTGTGTGTGTGTGTGTGTGTGTGTGTGTGTGTGTGTGTGTGTGTGTATGGTGAGGGTAAGAGGGAGGTTAGAAAGGGTGGCCATAGACAGAGTCCTGCCCCCCCCCCAGGCTCTGCCCTTCTCTCTGCCTTGTCTGGGGGCACAGCCCCCTCTGCCGTGCCATGTGTCACTGCTGCCCAGGGGGGAGGAAGTTGCCGGGTGTGCTATGGGCTGTGAAGGATTAGAGACTGAGTGCCTGGGTGGGTGGGCGGGGCTGCTGCTCCTGCCCACCTCACCATCTGCCAGCGTGCATGCTGGCTGGGCCTGCCCACCTGCCCTCTGCCTTCTGTACTCACCCAGCCCCCAACCTGGCCCATGGAGTCGGAAGCCACTTTACCCCTACTATAATGTCTCTCCCATTCCCACAGAGCAATGGCAAAGGTAAGGACTGCGTCTTCACGGAGATTGTACTGGAGAACAACTACACAGCTCTTCAGAATGCCAAGTATGAAGGCTGGTACATGGCCTTCACCCGAAAAGGTCGGCCCCGGAAGGGCTCCAAGACCAGGCAGCACCAACGAGAGGTCCATTTCATGAAGCGGCTACCCAAAGGTCACCACACCACAGAGCAGAGCCTTCGGTTTGAGTTTCTCAACTATCCCCCCTTCACTCGAAGCCTCCGAGGCCAAAGGACTTGGGCTTCTGAGCCCCGATAGGGCCCCTGACCCCTCCCCAGGACTTTGAGTAGAGACTTTTCTCTTAAGAGGATAACAGAGCAGCTAAACAGAATGGACCTATATGGGGAGGGGGGAGGGGAGTTCCTGGGTTCTAGATGTGGATAATTGTTTGCTGTTGGGTTTTTTTTTTTTAACAAAAAGAAAAAAAGAGGCTTTATTTTTGTATTCCACTTGGCTGTGATTGTCTTCTTCACCCTTCCCCAAAGGTCTCGTTCCTAGGGCCAAACCTGGTGGTGGTAGAGGGCTGTCTTCTTAGGACTCCTTGAGGACCAAGTGTAGGACTTTTCCTAGTCCTGGGGGCTGACGTCACCCCTCTACCCTATCTCCCTCATCCTGGGTCCAAGTTCCGCCCTATCTGACTAAGGTTTGGAAGCTGGTTTCCCAGGACTAGGCAGGGTCGGGGAGAAGAAAGCTATAGCCTGAATCGGTGGTTTGGATGTATGTTGGGAATTGGGGGAATCATGTATCGGCGAATATTAAATGATTGAAATATTTATTTAACATGTCTATTAAAAGTTTGTGTTTGGGCGATGAGGCACCCCATTCTCTGAGGGGAACCAGCCTGTATAGAAAGTGACAATGAAGAAACAGCCAGTCCAACCTTCCAGTCGAAGTTTTCGAATGATCTCTGGGTGGCTTCTCCTTGCTGTCAGACTTCTGCTCCTCCTGGTCCCCAGCCCTCTGTAAGGCTTTGTTGAGCTTCTTTGCACCCAGAGTAGAGGGGACAGTGGCCAGAGGAAACACTTTAAGCTCTTCCAGGCAGCTCTCAGACAAGGATCTCTTAGCACTTAACAGCTATTAATTACTGACACTTCAAAATATCACCTGGGCCAAGGATGATTAGGATGCTCTAAGGCCCCCCCCCCCAACACACACACCAGGCTGGACCAACCCAGTAGGACCCAAGGATCTGGCTGAAATCACCCAACAAGTCTTCATTGAGTGCACGGTCCCTGTGGGCCCTGTCTTGGGATGGGCAAAGTATGGAGCCTGATCGTCCTCCCAATTTCCAACTGTATGGGAAATGAAAGGATAGAGGAGCCGATTTTTTGGGGGAAGGGTTCAGGAATAGGAGCAGGGAGAATGGGTGTAGGGTTAGGACTATGTAAATGTGGATGTTGACAGTTGAGACATGAGATGTGGACCAGGTGTTCACTTTGGGAGATGGAGGTTAGCAAGCTGTGGGCAAGTGGAGCTGAGCTGACTTCTGTCCAGGGGAAAGGGTAGGCCAGCCCTGTCAGTTCTGGATAATGACCATTATTTCATCATGTTGAGTCCGATTTAGAGCAGGAAGGAAACTTAGAGGACCCCCTCATTCTATAGATGAGAAAACTGGCCCAGAGAAATGAAATGACTTGCCCAAGACGAAACAGTCAATAGCAGATCAGGGATTTGAATTCAGAACTTCATATTCCAAATCCAGTGCTCTTCTCACTGCTTTTAACCCTCCCACGGGCGTCTCCAAGAACTATAGTCAGAGCGGGGTGAGGGATGGGGGGAAATTGCTCAGTCTGTCAGCCTGGACCAGCGCAAGAAATGGCCCTTTTCTTTATCTCCAGCATCCTGGGGTACAAGAGCCACATTCACTATGCCTTGTTTATCCAATCCATCTTAAAAATCCATCGTAGAGGGGCAGCTAGGTGGCATAGTGAATAGAGCACTGGGCCTGAAGTCAGATGGACCTGAGTTCAAATTTGGCCTCAGACCAAACACTTGACACTTACTAGCTGTGTGACCCTGGGCAAGTCACTTAACCCCAATTGCCTAAAAAAAAAATCCATCCTAGGGTTAGACCATAGCTGGATTCACACAAGACATTGACTGGCCTTTCCGCATTAGACTTTACTTCTGTGGCATCCTTCTATCCTGGCCAGGCATCTCCAGCTCCCAGGTTTTGCTTCCACAGCATTAAAGAGAATCCTTGGAAAGGGAGGAAGCCTTGGAGACAGAGGGGTTAAGAGTGGCACAGGGAGATGAGAGTAAGGGAGAAGATCTAGGCATATTCCATTGCTCTCTGTCCCTGGGGGAGGGGTGCCTATCTCTAGAGACACAGATATTCCTTCTACTAGGCTCTCTGGGATGGAAGGCAGGGAAGGAGTGAGGGAAGGGGGGGGGAACCTAAATAATTTGAACATTTTTCTTTTAAGTTTCACCCCCCCATCCCATTCCTAAGCTCCTCCCCCACTGTTCCCCTTCTCCCTTCTTCTCCCCCTCCCCCTTTAATTAATTCTGGGTGAGTAGCCTGGCTTTATTGTGCATGGAGCTAGGGGTCTCACTGTGGGAAAAGTCACACCTTCTGAGCAGCTTCTGATGCCATGTAAATGAAGGAAAAGTCCAGGAAATGCTTTCATCTGCCCTGCCCACCGGCCGGCCACTGGGCCAGCCCCCAGCCCATAATGACCCACATTCATCTGTTGGAGAGAGTAATTCCTGGGGGAGGCCTAAGGGTGGGGGCAGGGTTGAGGTGGGGGCAACAGCTTGTAGGGGAAAAGGAATGTGAGCTCCTTAGGTCATGATCCTGGGGCTGGACCCGCCTCAGTACCTAAAGGACTATTAGATGCAGGGTGAAGACCCAAGCCCAGGTCAGCCTCATTTATGGTCCTTGGGGAAAGAGGACTTTTCATAGAAATTCCTACTCCCACTGTGGTTTAACTTTTGGTAGTGCCAGGGAGAAGTAAATCAGGCCAGGACAACTCAGCCCCTTCTCCCTCAGGCCAGAGAAAACCTGGAAAGGGTTCTCTCTGTTGGGGCAAACCTTCCTTCAGGCCGGGCCCCTTTTTGCTCTGTGCCTATGGAGATCAGGAAGTTTAAGTTAACAGCCTGACTCTGAAAGGAGTCCCCAGGGACCCTGGGCTCCCCTTGGAGGGGCACTGGGCTGCCTTCTTCTATGCCTTGCAGCTTCTGTCCACAGGCAGTATACTAGCTTCTTCCCAATGGGAGGAGCTGAAGGGAGATCCCACTTCCAAGGATTAGACCTTTCCCAGGTGAAGGAAGAGGAAGAGCAGGGAGAAAAGTCTCTGCCTCATCACCAGGAGTGGGCCTGCCACGAGTTGCTAGGCCCCTTCCTTCTTTCCTTCCTCTTCCTCTCCTGGTTCATTCTCTGCCACTGGGTAACAGACCCAACTCAGGCACCTGAAGAGAGAGGGCCAGGGCCTTTGACTGGGGCCTCAAGCACCTCCTCCCTTTCCTGGGGTTAACATCAGCTCCCTGCTTGGTTCACCAGAAATAAATGGGCTGAGCATATTGGGCCTAGCAATAACCCCTTGAAATCAGTTGTTATCACAGTTAACAACCAGTTTGGCTTCAGTTCAGGCTGTTAACTATCCAGCTGCTAAGTGCTGGTAATGATTGATTCCTGGACAGTTGCAGCTCGAGTGGCCGTAAAACCCCATTAGCCAGGACTCTGGAGCAGCAACGACTCAAAAGATAAACAAGCCATTTGGGTGCCCTGGCCTGGTCCACTCAGCCCAACCCACCCTGTCACCCCATCTTCCTTGTCTCCCAGTCATCATCCTCTGCAGCATTTGACTATTGACTGCTCTGTCCTCCTGGATGGTCCTTTCTCTCTGGGTTTTCTTAACTCTACTCTCTGTCTCTCTGTCTTTCTGTCTTAGTCTCTCTCAGTCTCTGTGTGTGTGTGTGTGTGTGTGTGTGTGTGTGTGTGAGTGTGTGTGTTCTTCTGTTTCTCTCTTTGTCTCTCTCCCCTCCTCCTCTCCCTCCTACCTCTCTGATGACTCCTCAATCTCCTTTGCTGACTTACTATCTATATCACACTCCCTATCTGCAAGTGTACCCCAAGACTTATTTTCTCCATTTCCATTCATTGGATGGCCCCATCGGCTTCCTTGCATTCAATCATCATCTCTGCAGATGTTTACCAAATCTATATATCCGGCCCTCTAGTTGGACATTTCAAACTGGATGTCTCATACACTTCTCAAACACGTGTCCAAAATAGAGTTTATTCTTTCCCCCAAAACCTATACCTCTTCTGAACTCTCCTATTTCTGCCAAGAGCAACACTCTCTTTCCAGTCACCCATATTCATAACCTCAGCCTCCTCCTTGGCTCCTTACTCTATTTCTTCCAATATAATCAATCACTATTACCAAGTCTTATCATTTCTACATCCATATCATCATTTATATCCATTTCCTTCTCTTGAATCGTAGAGTCACAACTCTAGTTCATGCTCCTATCATCTCTTAATTGAGTACTATTACAATAGCCTCTTGACTGGTCTCCATGATTCAAATCTCTCCTCTCTTGAAGATATCCTCCACACAGCTACTAAAACAATTTTCTCAAAGTATGTGCCTAATCCTGTCATTCCCTTACTCAATAATCTCCAATGGCTCCCTATTGCCTTTATGATCAAATTTAAACTCCTCTAAGCTCTTCACAGACTAGCCCCAACTTATTTCCTTATATATTACTCTCCCTCATATTTTTTTTTTGCAATTGGTGTTAAGTGACTTGCCTAGGGTCACACAACTAATAAGTGTCAAGTGTCAAGGCTGAATTTGAACTCAGGTCCTCCTGACTTCAGGGCCAGTGCTTTATCCACTGCATCACCTAGCTGCCCCCTCCCTTACATACTCTTTTTTTTATTTCTTATTTTTAAAATATTTTTTAAATTTTAAAAAATTTTTTATTTTTTTAAATTTTATTAATTTATTTTGATTTATCAACAATCACTTCCATATGCTTTTGAGTTGAAAATTTTTCTCCCCCTTCCTCCCCGCCACCCTCCCCAAGACTGCACACAATCTGATATAGGCTTTACATTTACGTGCCCATTAAACATATTTTCACATTAGTGAAGCTGTAAGTAAAAATTAAAATCAATAGGAGGAACCATCAGAAAGATGAAACAAAACTCAACAGAAGGTAAAAATAAGTGATAGCGATTTGACTTCCATAGTTCTTTCTTTGGATGTGGACAGCATTTTCCATCCCAAGGCCTCTGGAGATGTCTTAGATCCTCATAATGCTGAGAAAGGTTCAGTTTAACAATCTTAGTCATTGCATAACGTGGCTGTTATTGTGTACAAAGTCCTCTTGGTTCTGCTCACTTTACTCAGCATCAGAACATATAAGTCTTTCCAGGTTTTTCTGAAGTTAACCTGTTCGTCATTTCTTATAGCACAATAGTATTCCATTACATTCATATACCACAACTTACTCAGCCATTCCCCAATTGATGGGCATCCTCTCAATTTCCAATTCTT